AAACAAGGTGCACCTGCAGAAATCTGTTTATGTGCCCTACCAGTACATAACTGGTGTAACAGAATTAATAAATTAGAAGGTGGGGACAAACATAAAAGGTAACACCTACTGGTATAAATTGTAAATTACTCCCCAGATACAAATTGAAATACATATGGGTCTCAACTAGTCTAATGCAATTTGAATGGTGGGGTGGGGAGTAGATTAACAGCTAAACAATGCTTACATGTGGACAAGCCCTATGGGAACACCTTCTCACAGACCATCCTGCCTGCACCTTAAGGTCAGTGGATGATGCCTGCAGCCTGACTGGTGGTCCCTGTGCAGGATGAAGTGCATACCTCTGGGACCAATGGAAGGACCTTTTTAGTGGTGGCTCCATGGCTCTGGAATGTTCTCACTAAGATGTGCCTAGCCAGATTATCATTTTGTTTTAGAAAGCAGGTGAAGGCACACCTGCTTGCTTGCAGGTGAAGGCACACCTGCTTGCAGGGCAGCAGCTGAAGAAGGTGCAAAAAAGGGTTTTCTTGTGTGTGTTACTTGTGGCTGATTAGCTGCTCTCCCTGTGCAAAGGTCAGAGGGGGCAGGGCTTCTGTTGAGGTAGGTGATTAGCTGTGGGAGGAGCTTATCAGAGCTTTAGGGCAGCAGCTGAAGAAGGAACAAAAAGGGTTTTCTTGTGTGAGTTTCTTGTGGCTGTTTAGCTGCTCTCTCTGGGCAAAGGTCAGAGGGGGCAGGGCTTCTGTTGAGGTAGGTGATTAGCTGTGGGAGGAGCTTATCAGAGTTTGCAGGGCAGCGGCGCGTGCCTAGCGGCGCGCGCAGTTTGATCCATCTTTTAGATTTAGGGGAGCTAGTCTCACACGTTTGTTGGCAGAGAACTAGGGGTTTTTTGGGGGGGAGTTATTTGTCCTGTCTTCACGCTTTTTTATGATGGAAGACCGCTGTAGTCACCCCCAACGACATGTTCTCAAGATGGAGGGTGAGGGAACAGCTGCAGTCGCCTGTGATTCCTGCGCAATGTTTGCCATCTTGCCAAAGGTTGCAGGCAGCTTTACTTGCAGCAATTGCATGTTGATTGCACTCTTACAAGACAAAGTCCAGCAACTGGAGGAACGTGTAGCTACGCTCCAAAGAATTAGAGAGCTAGAGCTCTTCTTGGAAGCAACAGAGCACACCGTCTCCACCAAGGAGGAGACAGGGGACTCCCCTGAGAAGGAGGCTAGTTCACCAACACAGGAGCCAGATATATGGAGAAACGTGACTCAAAGAAGTAGGAGGCCCAGGGTTCGCTCTGATTGTTTAGAAATACACAATCGCTTTGAGGTCCTCTCCCCTAGCATGGAAGACGAAGAGCAGACCCCATTTGAGGATCTCTCCCTCATTACAGTCGATCAGGTATATGAGGACGAGCAGCAAAGTCAGTCCTCAGGGAATGTGCAGGCGACCTTGGAACGGACAGCTCACGGAAGAACCCCGACCAGACCTAAGAGGAGGCGTGTAGTGGTGATAGGGGATTCCCTACTGAGGGGAACAGAAGCAGTGATCTGTGGGCCTGACAAGATGTCTCGGGAAGTGTGCTGTCTCCCCGGGGCTAAGATCCAAGATGTAACTGAACGACTGCAAGGAATCATAAAACCCACTGACAAATACCCCTTCCTCTTGGTTCATGTGGGAACCAATGACACTGCAAGCAATAGCCTCCAGAGGATCAAAAGAGACTACGAGGCTCTGGGCAGGAAATTGAAGCAATTAAATGCACAAATTGTCATCTCATCTGTCCTCCCAGTTGAACGACGTGGCCCAGGGAGAGAGGGAAAAATAGTGGAAGTGAACAACTGGCTTCGCAAATGGTGTAAACAGGAACGGTTTGGATTCTTAGATCACGGGCTGCAGTTTCTTAAAGATGGACTTCTGGCAAGCGATGGGCTGCACCTCACAACGGTTGGGAGGAATGTTTTTGCCAAAAATCTCAGAAACCTCATCAGGAGGGCTTTAAACTGACTAATGTGGGGGAGGGAGACAGTGCTCCTGAAGGTAGGAGTCTATCAATTGATGAAGATGATCATCCAAATGTCATAGACCAAATGGAGCAAACAGCACACAGACCTAGTGGTGGGAGGAAAAAATCCTTAAATAAGAGACACGGGGGAATGATTAATGGACTTCAATGTCTGTACACTAATGCGCAAAGCATGGGAAATAAACAAGATGAGCTTGAGCTCTTGGTACAGCAAACTAAATATGACATAATAGGCATCACTGAAACCTGGTGGGATAAGTCCCACGATTGGAATGTAATAATGGAGGGATACAATCTATTTCAGAGAAACAGACCAGACAAGAAAGGAGGAGGAGTGGCATTATATGTCAGGGATGTGTATACCTGTGAAGAGATCCAAGATTTAGAACCTCAAAGCCAAAGTGAGAGCATTTGGGTCAAAATTAAGGGAGAGAAGAATAACAGAGACCTCATTGTGGGAGTTTACTATAGATCCCCAAGCCAAACGGAGGACATAGATGATGCCTTCCTGGAACAGATGGCCAAGCATGCAAAAGGAAGGGAGATAGTAGTAATGGGGGACTTCAATTACCCGGATATTTGTTGGATGTCAAACTCAGCCAAGAGCATAAGGTCAAACAGATTCCTCACTGGACTTGCAGACAACTTCATTGTCCAGAAAGTGGGAGAAGCAACAAGAGGAACAGCCATTTTAGATCTGGTCCTAACCAATGTTGATGACCTGGTTAGTGGGGTAGAAGTGGAAGGATCATTAGGCGCGAGTGATCATGCTCTTCTGAAGTTTACTATACAGCGGAAAGGAGCAGCCAAGCATACTAGGACTCAATTTCTTGACTTTAAGAAAGCCGACTTCATAAAACTTAGGGAAGTGCTGGGTGAGATCCCATGGACAGTAATACTAAAAGGAAAGGGAGTTCATGATGGCTGGGAGTTTGTTAAGAGGGAGATAGTAAAAGCACAACTTCAGGCAATACCAATGAGACGGAAACATGGAAGGTGCCTAAAGAAGCCAGGGTGGCTATCTAAAGAACTTTTAACTGAGTTAAGATTTAAAAAGGATGTGTACAAAAAATGGAAAAGGGGGGAAACCACCAAAGAGGAATTCAAACAAATAGCCAGCACGTGTAGACACAAAGTCAGAAAAGCTAAAGCACAGAATGAACTCAGGCTTGCTAGAGAGGTTAAAAGCAACAAAAAAGGCTTTTATGGGTATGTTCGTAGCAAAAGGAAGAACAAAGAAACAGTGGGGTCACTCAGAGGAGAAGATGGTGAAATGCAAACAGGGGACACAGAAAGGGCTGAACTCCTCAATGCCTTCTTTGCCTCAGTCTTCTCCGATAAAGAAAACAATGCCCGACCTGAAGAATTTGGAGCAAATGATTCAGCAGAGGAAACACAGCCCAGAATAACTAAGGAGATAGTACAAGAATACTTGGCTAGTCTAGATGTATTCAAGTCTCCAGGGCCAGATGAACTGCATCCAAGAGTATTAAAAGAACTGGCAGATGTGATCTCAGAACCACTGGCAGTCATCTTTGAGAATTCCTGGAGAACAGGCGAAGTCCCGGCAGACTGGAGGAGGGCAAATGTTGTACCTATTTTCAAAAAGGGGAAAAGAGAGGACCCAAATAATTACCGCCCAGTCAGTCTGACATCAATACCAGGGAAGATTCTGGAGCAGATCATTAAGCAAACAGTCTGTGAGCACCTAGAAAGGAATGCTGTGATCACCAATAGTCAGCATGGATTTCTAAAAAATAAGTCATGTCAGACTAACCTGATCTCGTTTTTTGACAGAATTACAAGCCTGGTAGATGAAGGGAACGCAGTGGATGTAGCCTACCTTGATTTCAGCAAGGCATTTGATAAGGTGCCCCATGATATTCTTGTAAAGAAGCTGGTAAAATGCGGACTTGGCTATGCTACCACTCAGTGGATTTGTAACTGGCTGACTGACCGAACCCAAAGGGTGCTCATCAATGGTTCCTATTCATCCTGGAGAAGAGTGACTAGTGGGGTGCCACAGGGTTCTGTCTTGGGCCCGGTCTTATTCAACATCTTTATCAACGACTTGGATGATGGACTCAAGGGCATCCTGATCAAATTTGCAGATGACACCAAACTGGGAGGGGTGGCTAACACCCCAGAGGACAGGATCACACTTCAAAACGACCTTGACAGATTAGAGAACTGGGCCAAAACAAACAAGATGAATTTTAACAGGGAGAAATGTAAAGTATTGCACTTGGGCAAAAAAAATGAGAGGCACAAATACAAGATGGGTGACACCTGGCTTGAGAGCAGTACATGTGAAAAGGATCTAGGAGTCTTGGTTGACCACAAACTTGACATGAGCCAACAGTGTGACGCGGCAGCTAAAAAAGCCAATGCAATTCTGGGCTGCATCAATAGGAGTATAGCATCTAGATCAAGGGAAGTAATAGTGCCACTGTATTCTGCTCTGGTCAGACCTCACCTGGAGTACTGTGTCCAGTTCTGGGCACCACAGTTCAAGAAGGACACTGACAAACTGGAACGTGTCCAGAGGAGGGCAACCAAAATGGTCAAAGGCCTGGAAACGATGCCTTATGAGGAACGGCTAAGGGAGCTGGGCATGTTTAGCCTGGAGAAGAGGAGGTTAAGGGGTGATATGATAGCCATGTTCAAATATATAAAAGGATGTCACATAGAGGAGGGAGAAAAGTTGTTTTCTGCTGCTCCAGAGAAGCGGACACGGAGCAATGGATCCAAACTACAAGAAAGAAGATTCCACCTAAACATTAGGAAGAACTTCCTGACAGTAAGAGCTGTTCGACAGTGGAATTTGCTGCCAAGGAGTGTGGTGGAGTCTCCTTCTTTGGAGGTCTTTAAGCAGAGGCTTGACAGCCATATGTCAGGAGTGCTCTGATGGTGTTTCCTGCTTGGCAGGGGGTTGGACTCGATGGCCCTTGTGGTCTCTTCCAACTCTATGATTCTATGATTCTATGATTCTATGATTCTATTCCAGCAGGGGAATTGTGACTGAAGTAATGTGAAAATAGTTTGATGCCGCTGCTTTTGTTTGCAAGTCCTTGTGTGGCTTATTATTAGGATGTTGTTGTAAAGTACCCTGTGGCCTGTTGGCAACACTTATTTTTAAACAAAATGACAAATCAGCATCTGTGTTGGCTACCCCTTGTCATAGACTGTGCTTTTTGTATTGCATTGCCATTTGAAAAGCTTGTGGTGCAATTGATCTGTTTCAGATCAGAATCTCTCCCGATCCCACCCCCACCTGGAGACTGAACCTGGGACCTTCTGCATGCAAAACAGATGCTGTACCACTGAGGTGCATTCCTTTCTCATACATCTCTATCTTTGGAAATTGCTACCCTATATTTCCAGGAACTGCTGATGCTCATTCTGAGAAAGAGCAACATTGTTTTGGAGAACACAGGCAGAAGTCTTTATTTGTGGAAATATGGCAAAGATCAAGGGGTCAAAAACAGTGTTCCCATTATGGTGTATGGGTTCCACTTTCTTCCCTCCTCACAGCACCAAATGGGGCAATACTTTTTCTGTGGCCTTCTGTACAAACAGGAGAATGTCATATTGACTTAAGCACTGACGTCGACCGGAAATGCCATTGCTTAGGGCTGAGTCGCCAAGTGCTGGGAGCCAAGCAGCTACAGGGCAGCACATCATGTGTCAAATTTAGAGCTTTGTGAAGGGATTGTGCAGTTTGCCCTGCTCAAACAGTGGGATCTTCCAGCCTCCAGCACCTCCACCTCACCCCTCCTTCTTTAGTCAGTTGAAAACAAGCAGTCCTGTTGGCTGGGTAAGACAGGAAACCAAAAGGGAAACTGAAACCTTTTCTTTAGCAATTCTAATTCCAGTCAAAGCATCTATTGAGGGGAATTCATGTGAACGCTACCATAAAAAGCCACTGGAGTTTGCAGTCAGAGCAGAAGTGTTGTAAACTGCTCCAAGCACACATCTGTGGGAAAGGCTTCAGCAGCTGCAGCCCCCTCCTGAGTTTCCTCTTGGCTGAAGTGCCCCGCAGAGAGACTGCTGCCAAGCCAGACCAGCCAGAAAATTACCTATGTGAGTACCACCTTTTCTCTCCACAGCCCTGTCTAGCTGTTAGCTTGAGAGAAACAGCCACAAGCCCTGGATTTCAGACTTTCAGGCTGAAGAAGGAATGCAAGGCTATGCAAGGGATTGAGGAAGTAGTAGAGTGATTCTTGCACCTGAGGCAGAAAACCCCACAAATGTCTTGGCAGTGAAAACGCAGTAATAATAAATAAGAAACAATTTGCGGCCTTTTCCTGATGCACAAAAACAGCTGCCTGCCCCTCTACCTAATGATAGGGCTCGTCCTGGAGTGAGTGAATAGTTTCATAGTTCTTGAAGAAAAACATTCAGAGATCCTATGGGCAGCCCTTCCTTTATCTAGCTAAGGGATGGGGAATCTCAGGTTCGGGTGCCAAATGTTACCCTGTAGGCCTTGGGACCACACCTCCTCTCCCCAAGAGATTTTGCCTAACTGAAATATGTCCTTTCACTTTGATGTTTTGAAATGGTAGGAGTCGCTCCCATTCACTGCTCTGGCCCAGAAGCTTGCCCAAGAGGAAATGCCCTTGGGGAAAATGTTTCCCAACCTCAACCCAGCCTTTCCAGGGGAAATAACCTGAGTGCAGAAGCAGAGCTTGGAATTTCTTTTTCTCTTTAGATTCCTCAGCCTCTTTCCTGGGCTGCCTTCTGAACTGCTCAGCCAAGCATCATGGAAGAGCCAATGTGCCTGATCGAGAACAACCCCAAGGAACAGCTGCGGGTCAACCAGGAAGCCCTGAAGATCTTGCAGAGCATCCAGCAACCCGTGGTTGTGGTGGCCATCGTGGGACTGTACCGCACTGGCAAGTCCTACCTCATGAACAAGCTGGCAGGAAAGAAGAAAGGTGAGTCTGCAGAAGGAATAGGTGTTGGTGGGTAGAGGCTTTGGGCTGGATGGGGCCAGCAAGGTACATTCAGATGTTACTTCATGTAGGTAACCGCTTTTTCAGATATTGGAGAATTCCACACTAAGAGGACCATATTCTGAGGTTACTGCTGATCCCCTTGTACCTGATTCCCTTATTCCTGTCTCATTTGATCCCTATAGGCTTCTCTCTGGGGGCCACGATTCAAGCACAAACCATGGGCATCTGGATGTGGTGCCTTCCTCACCCCAAAAAGCCTGACCACACCTTGGTGCTTTTGGACACAGAGGGGCTGGGCGATGTGGAGAAGGTAAGTTGGAGACACAGAGCAGCTATTGTTTGGGGGAAGGGCCATAGCTTAGTGGTAGGGCAGCTGCCTTGCATGCAGAAGGTCCTAGGTTCAATCCCCGATATCTCCAGGTAGGGCTTGCCGTTTGTGTCTCACGCCTTCATTGTATACCTTTAGGCACCAGGCAAAAACATTCCCTTCCAACTAGGCTTTGGCTGATTAATATTCTACAGCCTTTTAAAATGTTGGGGGGGGTATTGTTTTCTTTTCTTTAACTATTTACTTTTGTTTTTACCTTTTACCCAGAGATCTTGTGATGAAGGGTGTTATATAAATCTTAATTAACAACAACAACTATACAACAGGAGAACAAGGCTAATCAGGAGCACTTTAAAAGCTCTCAGGTGAGGAAGGATGCTCATAGGAGTAAGGCAAAGGTGAGGGAGTGCGAGCAGAAAGGGATCAACCAGGCAGAGTTCTTTACTGTGTGTAGGGATGCAGCCTAGGTGCAGATCAAGTGTGAAACAGGATTCTGCACTAATTACTTACATCCCATCCTACAGAGCAATACTGCAAATGACTCCTGGATTTTTGCCTTGTCCATTCTGTTAAGCAGCACCTTTGTATACAACAGCATGGGCACCATTGACCAATATGCTCTGGAAAAACTGCAGTATCCTTTGTACAAATGGTGTCAGGCAGTTCACTGCCAGTTTTCCTGCTTTGCAGTCAGAATAGATGGTGTGTAGATGCTTTCGGTAGCAATGTAGCTGTCTGTGCACGCTGGGAAATGCCTCTTTGTACATACATTTATTTTCACGATACTGGATGGTGCAATGTAGGTCACAGTTAGTGGGGACACCACACTGGTTTCCAGGAAACACACTAATGGACAAATTCAAACAAAGATGAACAAAACTGTGAAAATAAATAAGACAGCAATTTTTAATCAGTTAGCTGGTTAGATTTCTTTGGGAGGGAAACAGCACTAAAAAAAGACACCTCTCCAATGAGGCAGAAAAAAACTGTTAATTCATTTAAATGCAAGTCCTTCTTAAAAAAGTCATTCTGCCTTCTCTCTCACACACAGAAGGAATGCCTCTTCTAGTACTGTGTCTGCTATGTCGCATGCATACATCATCTGAAAACGAAGGAATTGTGCTTTTTGATTTGAAACTACTGTTTTTATCTAGAAGCAAGGTTTATCTAACTGGGTGACATTTCTAATAAGGGCCTTAGGAATAGTGAGGAGGGATAGAGGAGGAAAGGTGAGGGGTATTTGAGAGATTACTGCCCTGTGAAGTGGAAGAGGCATTGTAATTTCCTTAGTGTGATCCCAGGTATGTGACAGAGCTGACTAAGCGCATTAAGGTGAAGAGCACACCTCCAAAGGACTCTGAGGGTGAAGAGGAAGATTCAAGTGACTTTCTCAGGTTCTTCCCAGCTTTCGTCTGGGCTGTGCGTGACTTTTCGTTACTGCTGAAACTGAATGGGAAACCTATCACTGAAGACGAATATCTGGAGAATGCCCTGAAGAGGAAGAAAGGTACTGAAAGTCGGAGGGATCCTAGCCTGGATGAGTGCCGGATTTAGGATGGTGTGGGATCGTCCCCCTCACAGGGTGCCGAGCCAACGGGGCACAAAATAATAGCAACAGCAACCATAATAACCTTATCTGTGATTCTCTCTTTCTTAGACAACCCAGAGAAGTTGGACCTTGCCAAGAAATGCATACGCCAGTATTTCCCCAGCCGCAAGTGCTTTGTCTTTGACCGCCCGGCCTCAAGGCGAGCTTTAGAGGAACTGGAGGACCTACCTGAATCTAAACTGAATCCTGACTTTCTGGAGCAGGTTCAGCATTTCTGCAGCTATATTCATGAGCAAGCTCAGGCAAAAGTCATCCAGGGAGGGCACACAGTGACAGGGACATGTGAGTAGAGGCAAAGGGTGTGGGTTGAGTGGCTCATGGGGAATCCTGGATGGAGAGGCTGGGGTTTCACCATGAACTTCAGTATACAGCCAAAGGGTTTATGGACTGGAATACGTTTTTGTTTATGGACCAGAATACTTTTTGGTTGTTTTTTCTGCAAGAGACTAAGGGCCTGTCGACACTTCCACTTGCCCCAGACTTTTGCACAATTTGTGCGGACAATTACCACTTATTTGAGTGCTTTTTCATATATCCTGAACTATCTCATAATAATAATAATAATAATAATAATAATAATAATAATAATAATATATATATTTATACCCTGCCCATCGGGCTGTGCTTCCCCAGCCACTTTCGGCCGCTTACATTAGTTCATCATTTATCCATTTTTACTCATATCATATCCAATCACATTAATATCTTATTAAACCATATTTCTCTCCCTTCCTACCCCTTGCAGCACTGGGGCATCTGGTGGTGACCTATGTGGACGCCATCTGCAGTGGCTCCATACCCTGCATAGAGAACGCGGTGGTAGCCTTGGCGCAGATTGAGAACACAGCTGCTGTGCATGAAGCCATTACATACTATGAAGCTGAGATGGGGAAACACTTGAAGCTGCCCACCGAGACTATCGAGGAGCTGCTGGAAGCGCATGCCCAATACGAGAAGGAGGCTATTAAAGTGTTTTTGGCACGAGCCTTCAAGGATGTCAATCACGAGTACCAGAAGGAACTTGGGGTATGGGGATTAACTCACCAGTGGGCATGAGATAAGGGGCTCTCCATATCTGATATGGGGAAAACTAGGAAGGATTTTGTGTTGGATGGAAAGTTGGCTACTCAGAAATAGGAGGTTCCTTTCTATGGGGCAGTGTATTCATTCCTGTCCTAGTTCAGAGACTGAGTAGCCAAGATGTCAAGGGATGAGATCCGGCTCCTTAGCAAGGTTGTGTTGGCCATTGATTGGATGCCATTGGAAAGTTTAGGGAAGTTTTTAATATTTAATGCTGTATTGTTTTTAACACTCGATTGGGAGCTGCCCAGAGTGGCTGGGGAAACTCAGCCAGATGGGTGGGGTATAAATAAATCATTATTATTATTATTATTATTATTATTATTATTATTATTATTTATTATTATAGTTGAGATGAGCTAAGATGCCCCCAGGAACACGGAACATCTGGCAACCACTTGGTTTTGTTGGGATGAAAAAGTAACCCTGTTCCCAAGGGAGGTGTTTAGAATGAGGAACTAACTGTGGGAGGACCAGTTTGAGGAAAGGACAGAGGGTAGTAGGTGAGCCACCTTTTTCAGGCAAAGTAGACTTACAGCAGGTATCCACACTTACCTTTTGCCTTGCTCTTTCTGAGCTTTAAAACATGGATTGTGCCTGGAAAGAGCAGAGGAAAGGTAAATGTGAATAAGCCCTAGGTCTTTTAGCCCTTTTTTGCATCTCTTCTCCTTCTGGGTTGACAGATGGGAAGCCAGTTGGCACTCAGCAGAATGGACTTTCTGATCTGTATCTAAGAGTCATTTTCTCTCATGGATTTCAAGGGCATTGCAGCCTTCCTCCTGGGTCTCCACGTGCAAGATGCAAGCAGCTTTCTACCTTTCCCTGCTCAGTGCTATTTATGATAAATCTAAAAAGCAGAGTTAGGGGCATTATGGGTGCTAACTTGCTTATTTGGTTGATGGTGCTGGGAGAGCAAGTAGAGCAACAGCCAACTTTCAGAATAAAGTCCTTTTATTTCATACACTGAAACACACTTTGGAACCATGTTATCCTTTGCTCCCCCATTGCACTGGTTCACTGGGGCTAGTGCCTGCGACAAGAGGGAGCCCTGAAATTCCTGGAATAGGGAATATAGGAAACACCGTTTGCATCTCACCCTGTGCCCCCTTCTCTCTTCCCCTCCACTCTTCCCTCTTTCCCCCAGACCCAGCTTCATGCCAAGCTTCTCGAGTTCTGTTCTCGCAATGAGCAGGCATCATCAGATCGCTGCCAGGCTGTGCTTACACAGCTGTTCCAGGACCTGGAAGAGGAGATTGGCAAGGGGAGCTATTCTGTGGCTGGGGGCTACCAGCGCTTTCTGGATGACCAGAAGGAAAAGGTGGATCAGTATTACCTGGTGCCTGGGAAAGGACTCATGGTGAGTCAGACTTGTAGGCACAGCAACAGGAGGGATAAGAGGATGTGCAACACACCCACAAACCACGTTTAGCTTCCCCCAGGGATTAATCCTCCCCTTATAACTATTTTACTGTTCCTTTGCTATAATAGGTTTCTCCAGAGCTGTCGCTCCATCCCAGTCAGCAGCCCTGTCAGCATTACTGTAAGAGACACTGTGGTGCAATGGTTAGAGTGCTGATCTAGGATCTGGGAGACCCGAGTTCATATCCCTACTTCAGCAACAAACCCGCTGGGTGATCCTGGCCCAGTCACTGCTGCTTTGCTATCTTGCCTCACAGCTTTGTTGCAAGCATAAAATAGGGAGGGCGAGAGCCAGGCACCCCACCTTCAGCTCTTTGGAGGAAAGGTGGGCTATAAATGTAATCCCTGCCTCACTCCCCTGCCTTGCCCGCTCCCTGCTCAGCCCGATAACCACATTTCTCCCAGTGCAGTTCTGATCCTGAAGTGAGTCAAGGTGGGAGAAGATTTCTTTAAAGGATAGTACACCTTGGGGTAAAGCAGAGGAGGAAATGACTTTTTAGATAAATTACATTTTGCTTTCATTGATTAATTAATACCCTGCCTTTTCTTCAAGTAACAGAAGGCAGTGTGAGTTGTGTTCTCCCAACCTTTCTCTTACAGCAACCCTGTGTGGTAGGCTAGGGAGAGAAAGAGAGAGAGAGAGAGAGAGAGAGAGAGAGAGAGAAAGAAAGAAAGAAAGAAAGAAAGAAAGAAAGAAAGAAAGAAAGAAAGAAAGAAAGAAAGAGACTCCAAGATCTCTTCATGGCTGTGGGGGGGACTTGGACCTGGGTCTCCACAGTCTTAACCTACACTTGAAGTAATACACCGCACTGTCTCTCACAGACCCAGCCTGGCTCCAGATTGAAATTGGGCCATTAATCTAGATGAAGTACAAATGGCTACCCTTCCATATCTAGACTAGCCTTCAGGTTTTTGCAGTTGTTTTTCAGTGTCTTCTTCACTGCATATAGCTTTGCATGCAAGCACAAAGCCAAACAATTTGCCTCTACCCCTCTTCTCCTCTTTAGGCTTCCCAGGCCCTGCAAGACTTCCTGAAATCCAAGGAGGCAGCAGCCCAATCCATTTTGCAGGCTGACCGGACCCTCACAGACAAACAGAAGGAGGTTGAAGGTGAGCCCCAGTTCATAGGCCTCCTCCACAGACAGGCCTTGTTGTTGTTGTTTAGTCCTTTTAGTCGTGTCCGACTCTTCATGACCCCATGGACCAGAGCACACCAGGCCCTCCTGTCTTCCACTGCCTCCTGCAGTTTGGTCAAGACAGGCCTTACAGACCCATAATAATCTTGGCTGGGATAGTTTTAGCCTCCTCCGTCTGAGGTGGGAGTCCCCACTTCCTGTCATTTTTGCTAGTTCCTGATTCCTACCAATTCCCAGGCCTCTGAATGAAAGCCAAACTAGGAACATCTTGGAGGGTACAATGATCAGACCTGCCATTTAATTTTAATATTTTTTTGGGGGGGTAATGGTCATTGTGGAGAGGTGACTTTGACTGAGACCACAGGATGGAATAGGAAAATGTTGCTGGGAAGATTCTTGTCATCTGATGAAGGGAAGTGGGAAAGGCCCACTAGACTGAAGTTCATTAAAATAACGATGTGACTTCCAATGATATGATAATTTATAAAAGCTGTTTTTTAAATATAAAAAATCCCTGATATTGACCTGTCACAGTAGCCTAGCTGAAAGGTGATGCAGCAAAAAAAGAACTGATGGCGCTGTATACTGTTCACACCAATAATAATAATAATAATAATAATAATAATAATAATAATAATTCTACATACACACCACTCATGTAAAGCACATTCCTTTCCCTAAGAATCCTGGGAACTTAGTTTGTTACAGGTGCTGTGAATTGTAGGTCTGTGAAGGGTAAACTAAAGTTCCCAGAATTCTTTAGAGGAAGCTGTGTTTTTAAATTTGATTTCAGTGTATGTACACAACCTCCAAATACGCTAATGCAGCCTTTGCCAACCTGTGTCTTAATGTACAATTAGCATTCACCATCTCTCTTTCCCTCTAGTGGAGCGAGTCAAGGCTGAAGCCTCTGCCCGGGAAGCAGAGTTGCACGAGAAGATGAAAGATGAGGCTGTCCGGAGGGCCCAGCAGCAGGAAAAGAGTTTTGAGGAGCACAAAAGGCAGCTAGAAACAAAAATGGAGGAGGACAGGAGGAAGCTACTGGCAGAGCATGAGATGGTGATGAATGCAAAGCTCCAGGTAACAATATCCTTAGTACTGTAAGCCTGATCATTTATGCAGTCTTACCAGCTTTCACTAAAGAGGCCAGAGTTGAAGAAGAAGAAGAAGAGTTTGGATTTGATATCCCACTTTGTCACTACCCGAAGGAGTCTCAAAGCGGCTAACATTCTCCTTTCCCTTCCTCCCCCACAACAAACACACTGTGAGGTGAGTGGCACCATTCTAGCTGATGGCACCATTCTAGCTGACTGATGATGCCTGTGTCATCTTGAGATAGTCTTCAGGGACCTAACATTAGGGGGGGAAAGCAGTTGGATTGGGGGCATATGGAGAAGGGAGGAGGAAGCGATTGCTCACCTGTCTCAATTCACCACCTGAATTGGCCTAGCTCTGTCCCCGTCTCTTATTGCAGTCTCCAGCTTTGCTCTGTGATCAACTGGCATTGACTTTATTCTTTATCCCTGCCATTCCTTAGGAGCAGAGGCGGCTTCAGGAAGAAGGGTTCAACCGAGAAGTCAACAGGCTTCAGGGCGAGATCCAGCGCTTGCACTCTGCGATGAGTGAACAGTCGAGTGGGGGCCCTGGATTCTGTGTGATTCTTTGAAGCTGCTGGCATTTCCAAAAGGCCCTAAATGGATGAGGAATGGGATGGAGAGGAGAGATCTACTTTGTATCTGGGCTCACTGAGTAGATATCTTTGGTGTGACTTTTTGTGTGTATATGAGAAAAATGATGGCATATAAAGACAAAATGGGTGAAATTAAACAAGAAGGAAAATCTGATAGTTGATTGTATTCTGTTGAACCTTGTCTTAACTATTATGTTTATGTTGCAAATAGTTCTAGCTGCTGCCTTGCAAGTATTCACATAACTATGGTTTATTTATTTTGGTTTTATTTTATGTCTGTATTTCTTCGACAGTGATTTATAATTGTATATGGACCATGTATATTGCCACTAGATCATGTTTAATAACAGTGCATTTTGCAGAACCTTATATAACAGTTTTTGGACAATAAATAAATTGGAATCTGCCATGGGTAGAGGCTTCTCTATAAAGGTAACGTGTCTCCAGCTTGAAACAAGCTAAAGACAAGACAGTGTGTGGAAAGTTTATTGGGCTTGGATGTGGGGAAATCGTTCTCAGCTATGAAGCTCTCATGGATGGGTTTTAGGAAGGGTGGAGGGAATCGCCCCCATATACATTTCAGATGACATTTTTCACTAGAAGCACCTTTATCTCAGGCAAATCTGCTGCATTTTTCATTGACTGGCTTTTGTGAACAATCCAAAGTTCTTGATTGCTATTAGTCAAATGCAAACCACACCAAATATGGACATCATATTTCCCCCAGGGGAATCAGACTTCTGCTGCTTCTCTCTCATACACAATCACACCTTTGCTGCTGGAGAGCACACTTCAGCTGTGGATATTTGCAGGTTTCCCATCATCTCACTGACTGCTAAAAAGGTGATCTGGAGCCATGCTGTTCGTTGTTTTTCAGACAATTAACATTTCCACACTTAAGGTCTGCCAGTGCCGTCCAGACATGGCTGTTCCATGGTCAGCTAGAAGCAGAATTATAAATGTCCACATAATCAAATGTGGCTTGATATTGCAGAAGAAATTTTGACCCCAAGGCCTCAGTCTTGGTCTGTCACCGCCAGTTTTGACCCCATGAGCATATATGTGAAATGTTATTTTGTCCCAGCATGAATCATTTTACACTTGAATTGCATTTGCCATTCCACCACCTGTTCACTCACTTCGGTGAGGTTCTTTTGGTACTCTTTGCAATCTCTTTTTGTTTCAACAAATCTGAACAATGATGTATCATCAGCAAACTTGGCCACCTCACTGTTTACCTCTTAACTCTAGATAATTTATGAGCAAGTTAAAAAGCACAATCTTTGGGATAATACCAATCTTTGGAAGACTGCACTTTCTTCTCATTTGGAGAACTGTCCACTTATTCCTACCATTTGCTTCAATGAACTTAACCAATTCCTGATCCACAAGTGGACCTCTTATTGAATAACCTTAGCAAATAATGTGCCCATTTTCAGTCCCTGTCACTTAGCTCTGCGGGGGGCGGGGAGCAAGCAAACACCTATTATTCATACCCCACTCCTCTGCTTTTGTATTCAAGCTGGTCCAACCCAGAGAACGCAATCATCAGGTGAAGTGGGGAGGGATAAGGAAGTAGCAGAGTTCCACTCACACTTCTCTGAATTCAGGTTGCTCCTTGTTAGCCTACTCTTTCTCTTCAAATAAGGTGGCAGTACTATGCATGCTGAATCCACTGAATCTATTCTTGTGATGCATAGGATCTGGCTGCTCCTGGGATAAGCCCTGCTGGAACAGACCAATGGCCCACCTAGCCCAATATTCTGGTCTCACTGTGGCCCAGCAGATGACTTTGAGAAGCCCAAAAGCAGGGCTAGAGCACAACAGCATTTTCCCCTCCCGCCGTTTCTAGCAACTGGCATTCAGAAGCATTCTGCCTTTGAGGACAGAGATGGAATGGAGCATTGCGGCATAGAAGACGTTGATAGTCTTATCCTCCATAAATTTGTCCAGTCCTCTTTTAAACTATCCAAGTTGGTGGCCATCACTACCTCTTGTTGGAGCAAGTTCCATAGCTCATCTATGAGCTGCACTGAACCTTCCAATATTCAGCCTCAGTGGGTGTCTCTGAGTTTTAGTGTTATGAGAGAAGGAGAAATTATGCACACACTAGTGGGGACATTATAAAGGAGTATAAATTATGCATAATTTTATACACTTTTATAGTAGGCTTGCCCTATTTCAAAAAGTAAAAACCAGGATGCCCTGACAGTTGTAGAACTTTTTTTAGGAAGACCCCAAGGACTGATTTTTCAATGGACCTGCCTAACATCTAGGACCAAGCAATGGCCTTTGGAAATTCCCCCGGATGTCGATTCTGCCTTTGAAATCCCAGTAATATTCAGGAAAATCTGGATGTAAGGCAGCCTTGCTTTATAGTGTTTCCACTTACTTGCCTTTTTTATTGTTCTATTTTTTAATTTAAAAAATAATTAAAGATTCTTGGTTTACAAAAGTATGTGCAATGTCTCTTTCTTCAAGCTGCATTTTCTACAGATCAGTTTCATTTGTTGTGAGACATTAGTGTTACATTAAGAAGTAAAGAGGGGAATGGTGAGTGGGGTGGGGCCAGGTGTTACTTAACTTTTTTCTAAACTACAAAGACTCAAACGTAATATTTTCTCATAGGGACCTTTGATCATGTTGCGTTTGCTTACATTGCATCACATTTGCCATTTTGCTGTCCAGCTGGGAGAAATTGTTTTGCAGCTTCTCAAAATCCCTGCTCCTTTTAGCAAGCTCCAGCAGCATAGAACACCAGTCCTAAAATATCTACATTGGCTCCCAGTACATTTCCAAGCACAATTCAGAGTGTTGGTGCTGACCTTTAAAGCCTTAAACAGCTTCCGCCCTGTATACCTGAAGGAGCATCTCCACCCCTATCGTCCAGCCCAGACACAGAGGTCCAGCGCCGAGGGCCTTCTGGCAGTTCCCTCACTGTGAGAAGTAAGGTTTCAGGGAACCTGGCAGAGGGCCTTCTCGGTAGTGGCGCCCGCCCTATGGAACACCCTCCCAGCAGATGTCAGAAAGATAAATAGTTATGTGACTTTTAAAAGACATCTGTAAGCAGCCCTGTTCAGGGAAGTTATTAATGTCTGATGCGACATTGTGTTAGACTTGCCCCAGTCTAACACAGAGTTATGAACTAGAAGATTAGTGGTTCAAAGATTGTGGGAAGTATTCCTGCCTTGCAGGGGTTGGACTAGATGAACCTTGGTGTCCCCTCCAACTCCACAATTCTTCTGCAGGCTTTTGCCACAAACAGAGTGTAATGCTTCAAGCTTTGAAGCAGAAGAAACAACCCGAATTACAGTTACTGAGGGCTGATTCATGAGCTGGGAGTCAACGAATTACACATTGTGTGCAGCGCAATCATCCCGCTTCTCCTAATCAACACCCCCCGCCCCCCGCTTACAAGGCTGCGAGAGTTGATCTGCTCAAAGGAAAAAGGCAGTTTCCCTGAAAGGGAAAAGCGAAACTAGAAGTAGACATTTCTCATGCTGAAAGAAGGAAGATTCCAGGCAAGGAAACCCCCAGGAAACCCCCATCCCACCACCATAAAAAAGCCAGGGGGGAGTTCAATGAAAGGAGAAGAGGTGTGCCGGGTTCCAGCAAGAGAAGAGCCACAGCAACTTATTGCCTTTGGCAGAAGTTCTGTCCCACAAGCAGTGAGACTCAGCAGCAACCCAGCAAATTAACTCTGTAAGTACCATTCTCCTTCCTCCTGCCCTCCTGTTGGCTTGAGAGAGACAGGCATAAACTTTGGAGGCCAGACTTCTCAGAGCAGGGAAGGGACTGCTCGGATGAGTGCAAGGATGCTGGCCAGCTAGTAATAATAAGAATAATTTATTATTTATACCCCGCCAATCTGGCTGAGTTTCCCTGGGCGGCTAGGGATGGAAGCATTGACCAATTTCAGCTCTCTCAGCTTCTTGTTCTTCCAGTCGTAAATTTGATTCTTTCCATTTCTGCAGCAATCTGCAATCCCCCTAAAATGTGCCGCCTGAGGCAGCTGCCTCACTCTGCCTAATGGAAGGACCGGTGCTGCTTTTGTCTGCGGTCTGCTTGCTAGCTTTAGTGGTTGTGTTGTTCTTGCTGTTACAATATATTAGGTTTTCATTGTCATTGTACACACATACATACTCTGGGATCTGCTTGGATGTTTTCAACCTTTTTTAAAATAATAATAAAAATTTAGTTCCCCAGATCTTACAGAAAAGAGTCTGAAGAAGCCACAGGCTGGCTTTATTAAGAATTCTCCTCGTTTTCCCTTACTCATGCCTCAGCTGATGGCAGCCAATTCATTGCTTGTCCCTGAGCTTGCCTTGCTCAGTAGGCAGAGAATACAGAGTAGAGAGAATTCAAACTAGGGAGGGTGGGATGGAACGGAGTTATCCTGGAAAAGGGCACAAGTGGCTGGCTGGCACTATAGAGCACACTGAACAATGTTTCGTTGCAGTTTTCACTTGTGGGACTAGAATTCGATCTTCAAGCAATTAAGCATTGAATCCAGATTTAGTTAGACTTTTACAAACTACAATTCCCAGGATTCTTGTGGGGGGGTGTTGCTTTACATATATGGGGCGTGCTCAGCCCAAAGGTGAACCCCACCCTTACACTATGCTCAGATTCATCAGCTGTGCATGTTTGGGCTACAACAAAGAGGCAAAGTTTCCAGATGCTTGGAATGTGTTTCCAGATGGGGAACAACAAAGAGACAAAGTTTCCAGATGTGGCTTGGAACATAGAACCAACTAAAGGGGAGGTGACCTTGGGCATAGTTCTGTTTGGTGCTGTGCCCTATAACTGACCAGGAACACTGACCACAGTGCTATCAAATCCCTTAACTTGGGGTCCTTTCCAACTCTAAGTTTCTATGAACTATGTAAACAGTTGCAGGGAAAGTCCAGCTCTTGATTTCAAAAGAGGAAATTCTTTTAAAAACAATGGGGTTCTGGTAAAAAAAGAGAGGAGGAAGCTGAAAAAAGAGCATTTCCAGGAACAGCTTGAAAGCAAAGCGGGCAGTGAGTTTTATAATGCTTTTCTGAACACCCTTCAGCAGTGCAGAAATAACGTGGCCAGGCTATCCGTTTGTGCATCAAACTTGGATGTCTGCAAAAGGGGTGCCTATGTCTGAGAAGGTAAACCTGCACATGCCCTCTACACAGTTTTATATCTGTACTTTCTAGGGTCCTGATACCACGGAACACCTGAAACCTTTGTCGATGTTCAAAAGTTATCTTAAGGACTATTATAAACTTGATGAATGCTAGAATGTTATGGTTTTCAGAAACAAAGGGATACAGTGATATAAGGTCAGATTATAGAGATAACTAAGGACAGAGGTTGGAAAGTAACATTGGGAGTTGCTATAAAACTATGGACATTGGGATGCAGAAAGGGGGGGGTATGGGGGAGTCTCAGAAAAGAGGTTTATGAAAAACATTATGAAATTATACGTGTTTGTATGTCTTTTTAAGTGTTTGTTTGTTTTTAAAATTTTGTAAAACCAATAAAAAAAATTTTTTTTAAAAAAAAGAAACCTTTGTCGATGTGCAGGACTGTTCTAAAAAGGAATAAAACATGATAGGGTTGATTCATAGAGGGTTGACGTGGACCTTAAAAAAGGAAATAGCTAGTGCCATCAATACAGGCCCTTAAGCAGTGAAATGGGCCATCTACTCTTAGGAAAGCTGAGCAGCTATTCTGCTGAGTTTAAAAAAGCCAGATTTTCTGAACATTGTGGAGGGGGGGGGTGGATATGTATCTTGTATTGTTATAACTCTACACTTGTAAAATCAAATAAAAATTATTATTTCAAAAAAGAGAGCGAGAAGTACCTGGGTTTTTCTTTTCACTAGCAATATACTGAGGGCAGAACCTGATAGTGCAGTCCTTTACTTTTTCTCCCAGGAGGTTCTTTGTCCTGACCCGTCCCTCTCATAGACTCTCCGCGGCCTCCGTCAGTGAACATGGAAGAGCCAATGTGCCTGATCGAGAACAACCCCAATGAACAGCTGCGGGTCAACCAGGAAGCCCTGAAGATCTTGCAGAGCATCCAGCAGCCAGTGGTGGTAGTAGCCATCGTGGGACTGTACCGCACTGGCAAGTCCTACCTCATGAACAAGTTGGCAGGAAAGAAGAAAGGTGAGTCTGCAGGAAGAATCTGCTCTGTGCTCCTGAGTAGAGACTGGGGTGCTGAATGGGCACATTCACACCACGCCAGAGTTCCCTGAGAAGAGGGATTGATTGGAGGGGAATAGGGAGGCCTCCTCTCAGCTCCCTTAACAAACTACAGGTCCCAGTTTTTTGGGGGGGAAAGCCATGACTGGCATCATAGCAGTTCAAGCACAGAGTGTGAATGTGGCCATGTGAAGGGGGCAGTTATAGTATGAAGTCCCTTAATAATGTGTTGTACCTAAGTGCTCAGAGTTATGGATGGATCGATGGATCTGTCTCTTTCAGTTCTCACAATTTCTCATCTCTCCAGTCTTAAATTCAGTTCCCAATATTTCTGCAGCAATTTGCAAATAAGTAAATAAAATAAAATCCCCACCAGCTTTTCTCCTAATAAAAGTTATTACCTCGGTTTTCGAGCGTCTCAGAAGCTGAACGTTTTGGTTTTTGAACGCCAAAAGCCCAGAAGTACTGGTAAATGCTTCTGTTTTTGAACGTGCCTCAGAAGTTCAACTTCTGAGGTGGCTTCCTGTTTGAGTTTTCCATACATTTTGAGGCTTCCATATTGCGTTTTTGGTTTTCGAATGTTTTGGAAGTTGAATGGTCTTCTGGAACGGATTACGTTCAAAAACCAAGGAACCACTGTAAAGACCTTTTTATATGCAATTTTGACCAACATTTTTGGAAAGCAATTATTTTCAGTAATATATGCATTGCCATGCACAATTTACCCCAAGGTATGCATTGTTATGCACATTGCTCGGATGGATAGCTGCGTTTCAAAATCTGGAGAAGTGTGGATTTCAGAGGATGGCTGGGTTTTCGGTACACACATTGTCTTGTAAAGTGTGGATATGGTTGGTTTGCCTTTGCAAGCAAACTTAACTGAACTTTCCCCCCATCCTCATTCAGAACAGATGCACTGAAATTCATGAGGTTAGTCATGCCCAGTAACTTCATTGGGTCCACTTTGAGTTGGACTAGCAGTGGATACACATCATATCCCTGTCTCAAGTGCATGTGCAGAACTGTTCTAAAAGGGGCTAAAATAGAGGTGATTTGTAGAGGGTCAACGTGGACCTTAAAAAAGGAAATAGCAAGTGCCATTTGTGGCCAAACAGTCAGCTACTTGCTGGCTATAGGTCTTTGGTCTGCGTTCCCTGCAAACGGAAATCCTTCACTCACTCCTTCTGATCTTTTGAACCTGTTCCGTCCTCCCTTCTGTGGTGGAGCAGTCATCTAATCTAACCCACTTTATGGGCAATTAAGTGGTTGACAAGAGCCCCAAAGTTCCTTTTACAACCAGGCTATTGCTGCAGTTTGTGGTTATGGTGCTTCTTTGCATGTGCAGGGGATATAATCATCATCATCATCATCATCATCATCATCATCATCATCATCATCATAACAACAACAACAACAACAACAACAACAACAACAACAAATTTATTTCTTATACCCCACCTATCTGGCCAGGCCTCCCCAGCCACTCTGGGCAGCTCCCAAAAGAACATTAAAAACACAATAAAACATCAAACATTAAAAACTTTCCTAAACAGGGCTGCCTTCAGATGTCTTCTAAAAGTCAGACAGTTGTTTATTTCCTTGACATCTGGTGGGAGGGCGTTCCACAGGGCGGGTGCCACTACCAAGAAGGCCCTCTGCCTGGATCCCTGTAACCTCACTTCTTGCAGAGAGGGAACCGCCAGAAGGCCCTCAGCGCTGGACTTCTGTGTCCAGGCTGAACAATTAGGGTAGAGACACTCCTTCAGGTATACTGGGCTATCCCTTTTATGTTGGGGTCAGGCCTTGGAAAAGAACATAAGTCTTTGGCCAAGCCCCCAGGAGATAAGGTGTACACCCACCTGGTACCATGCAGATGTTTCTGACTACAACTCTGGATTAGGCTGATGGAAGTTGTGGTCCAAAACATCTTCACCGGGTTGGTGACGGATGCTCCATAGATACCTACAGTGGTGCCCCGCAAGACGAATGCCTCGCAAGACGAAAAACTCGCTAGACGAAAGGGTTTTCCGTTTTTGCGTTGCTTCGCTAGACGAATTTCCCTATGGGCTTGCTTCGCAAGACGAAAACGTCTTGTGCTTTTTTTTTAAAGCCGCTTGAAGAGGCGCAGTTGCGACGGACCGTGCTTCGCAAGACGAAAAACATCGCAAGACGAAAAGACTCGCGGAACGAATTCTTTTCGTCTTGCGAGGCACCACTGTACTTGTTTGCAAAGGGTGGAAGCCCTTCATTTTAAGAATTGGAGTGAGTACTATTGAGAGTTGGAAAACAACGCCTCCGCCCACAACAAACACACAGGTGATCCCCTGATATCTGATCTCCTTCCCCTTTGTACCCTACAGGCTTCTCTCTGGGTGCCACCATACAAGCAGAGACCATGGGCATCTGGATGTGGTGCCTTCCTCACCCTGAAAATCCTGACCACACCTTGGTGCTTTTGGACACGGAAGGACTGGGTGATGTGGAGAAGGTAGGCAGGAGGACAGGGTTCGAATCCCCACTCAGCCACAAAGCTTGCTGGGTGGCCTTGGGCCAGTCACTGCCTTTCAGCCTAATCTACCTCACAGGGTTGTTGTGGGGAGAAATGTGTCACACTTAATGAGATCCCCATGACATCCTAGGTCCCAGGTTTTGGCCTTGAAATCTCAGGGTCTGGGATGCTCCTGAGCTGGCAGTCTTAAGAGCTAGGCTAATCTGGAACACTCCCAAAGCTTTTGGACGTGGAGTGGCTGGGCAATGTGCAAACATTTGGAAGTAGGGAGTTGATGCCTTGAAGAGTTTTCTTTTTTAAAATGATAATAATTTTTTAATCATTTTTAGCTTTAACAATTAGCATCACAAATAAATCATAACCATATACATATAGGATTCTCTGAATCCCCGGACTGCCCTCCACCCCTCCATGGTTTCCATAGTTATTCTTTTCCAACTGCATCATATAATGTTCTCCATATTTTCTTTAACCTCAATTCTCACCATAGTTCTCGTTACACTGCAAGTGTTGTTCTTTTTTTTAACCCTGCCAATGTTTTTAATTGTTTACAGTGATATTTTAAGTAACTTATACATTTTCTCCATTCTTTATCAAATTTGTTATCCTCTTGAACTCTGATCTTCCCAGTCATTTTTGCCATTTCAACATAGTCCATCATTTTTGTCAGCTACAGTGGTACCTCGGGTTACATACGCTTCAGGTTACATACGCTTCAGGTTACATACGCTTCAGATTACAGACTCCGCTAATCCAGAAATAGTACCTCGGGTTAAGAACTTTGCTTCAGGATGAGAACAGAAATCATTGCTCCGGCGGCGCGGCAGCAGCAGGAGGCCCCATTAGCTAAAGTGGTGCTTCAGGTTAAGAACAGTTTCAGGTTAAGAACGGACCTCTGGAACGAATTAAGTTCTTAACCCGAGGTACCACTGTATTCTATTGTAGGTACTTCGTCTTCCTTCCATCTTTGGGATAATAACATCCACACAGCTGTCGTAGTGTACATAAACAGTCTTTTCTGCTCCTTTTTTCTGTTTTTTTCACAAAAGTTATTTTAAACATTTTTTTCAACTCATTATAAGTCATTTGCCTAGGATGGTTTTCTATGCAGTCCTTACATACAACAGGAAAACTAGACTAAGAGCAGCCCCAGAGCTCTTGAAACTCACCACAGTGTGAGGCAGTGGGAACAGAAAATACCCACCAAAGCAGTGTCTCTAACTCTAGCGAGTGCAACAACTCTAGGTTGCTGATATCAGAAATTAAAACTTTTTTTAAGGTAAACCTAGCATAGATGTTGATATGCTTTTAATCTCTCTTACTGTAGATTTTTTTAAATTAAAAAATTGCCGGGGGTTGGACTAGATGACCCCTCCAACTCGACAATTCTGTAATTCTATGTTTTCCATTGTTTTTTTAGCTTTTTTATTGATTTTTTTTTTTTTACAAATTTATTGCAAACCTCTTACAGGCTTTGCCGCAATCGAGCGGTCTATAAATGGCGTCAGATGCAAATAAATAAATCAGGTGCAAGCCCAGGGTGAGAGGGTTTCGTGCTAATAATTCCTATCCCTCCCAACAGAGCAACATCGAGAACGACGCGTGGATCTTTGCCTTGTCCATTCTGCTTAGCAGCACCTTGGTCTACAATAGCATGGGTATCATTGACCAGTTTGCCTTGGAAAAACTGCAGTATCCTTCCGTGCAAACTCCATTCCACCTCCAGTTCCCTTATTTGCAGCCAGAGTAGATGGGGCAGGGACTTTGGTTTGCATGGTATCTCCATGAACATTATGGGATCTCCCCCATGCACTTCTTTGCAGGATACTAGATGGAGCTCGCAAGCCTGCAGTGCCACCGTTCTCTCTGGACTCTTGTGTTTGTTAGGAAAACATTCTTTAAGAAACAGATAAAAAGTTCCTGGAAGCTTTAAAGAGGGTTCCAGAATTTTCTTTAGTGTGTAGGAGTGGCGCTCTAGGCTTGATTGGTGTCAGCTGGAGGTGCAAATAAATAATAATAATAATAATAATAATAATAGTAATAATAAATTTTATTTATACCCCGCACTCCCCAATAAAGGGAGGAAGCTGCAGGCTGCAACTTCTGCACGAGGAAAGCACACACACACACACACACACACACACACACTGTCAGCACACACGCTGACCACAAGGTTGGAAGTAGGACTATGCGCTGCTGATACTATGAGTTTTTGCTGTGTCAGGATTGTTAATTACTGGACTGAGATTATACCGTGCTGGAGAGATAAGGAAGGAATGTAAATAGCTTGTATATAATAGTAACAGAAATGCTTGTGCAATCAGTCAAGCAACAAAGAAGCTCTTGACTCTGAATTTGAGTATGACTCCTGTTCTTGTCGTCTGCCTCCGGGGAAAACTCTGCTACAAACAGTAAGAAGTGGTTTTACCGAGGTGCCACCACACAAGCAGAAAAGCGCAGCAGAAGTGTGTGGGCGGTAGCCTCTAATAGTGTTATCTAAGTTATTTAACTGAGAGATTATTGCCCCAGGAGGGGACAAGAGTCATCTCCATACATTCCTTAGTGTAAACCCAGGTATGTGACAGAGCTGACTAAGCGAATCAAGGTAAAAGCTACAGCCACAAAGACCTCTGAGGATGGAGAGGAGGAAAACAGTGACGACTTTCTCAGGTTCTTCCCAGCCTTTGTTTGGGCTGTGCGTGATTTCACGCTGCAGCTGAAGCTGAACGGATGCCCCATCTCTTCCGACGAATATCTGGAGAACGCCTTGAGGAGGAAGAAAGGTATGGGAAAGAGGGCTGATGGGATCCCACCCAGGCCTTGTGTCAGCAATCTGAGGCTGTGACAGGGACTGACTCTATCGGGGTGGGGAACCTTTATCCTTCAAGGGGCTGCATTCCCTTCTGAGCAACCTTACGGGGGCCACAGGGCAGAGGAAGGTGGAGCAACAGCTGTAGAACTGACCTTAGTACAGCAGGTCAGCATATTCCTCACCCAGGCAAGCAAAAAGCCTTATCAGAGTTCAGGGACACAGTTCAGCCAGGCAAAAACTCTCAAGGAGGCTGCAAGGCAAAGCCATTGAGGTCTGTAGCCTGAAGAGAAGGGGTGTGGACTGGGGAGAGTCCTGAGCACTACCCAGAGAGACCTGCAGGGCTGTTTTTGGCCCACAGGCCTGAGATTCCCCACCCCTGAACGACATTCTTGTTAGCTTTTTATAACATCCGCGTCAGTGGGAAGTCCAAATTTTATAGACAATGATGAAAAATGGGAGAGAATCTTTCTGTGAAATGGGGCCTTTGAACATAAGAATCCCAAAAAAGCCCTGCTGGCAGGCAAGAACTGTGTACGGTCCCCAATTCTGTCATTTTACTCCACAATTTTCTGGGTTAATGGGGTTGCAAACAGATGTTTGTTTCTGGAAGCAATTAACGTGGAAATGAGTGCTAAACCTCTTGTATATTCTGCTAGATTTCTGGAGGTAATCATAATCATAATAATTAGTATTAGTATTATTTCCCCAGCCACTCTGGGCAGCTCCAAACAGAATATTAAAAACACAATAAAACATCATCTAACCCACTTTATGGGCAATTAAGTGGCTGACAAGAGCCCCAAGGTTCCTTTTACAACCAGGCTATTGCTGCAGTTTGTAGTTATGGTGCTTCTTTGCATGTGCAGGGGATATAACAACAAGAACAACTAATTTATTACTTATACCCCACTTATTTGGCCAGGCCTCCCCAGCCACTCTGGGCAGCTCCAAACAGAATATTAAAAACACAATAAAACATCAAACATTAAAAACTTCCCTAAGGGCTGCCTTCAGGTGTCTTCTAAAAGTCAGACAGTTGTTTATTTCCTTGACATCTGGGGGGAGGGCGTTCCACAGGGCGGGTGCCACTACCGAGAAGGCCCTCTGCCTGGTTCTCTGTAAGCTCACATCTCGCAGTGAGGGAACCACCAGAAGACACTCGGCGCAGGACCTCAGCGTCTGGGCAGAACGATGGGGGTGGAGACACACCTTCAGGTGTACTTGGCCAAGGCCATTTAGGGCTTTAAAGGTCAGCGAAAAAAACTGAATTGTGCTCGGAAACATACTGGGAGCCAATGTAGGTCTTTCAGGACCAGTGTTATATGGTCTTGGCAACCACTCCCAGTCAACAGTCTGGCCGTCGCATTCTGGATTAGTTGTAGTTTCCGGGTCACCTTCAAAGGTAGCCCCACATAGAGCACATTGAGGTGGCTTTTACATTGTATGAAAGCTCAAATATAATGCGGATACATGAGGGAAACAGGAACGGCTGATGTGGTCTTTCAGGACTACATCACTTAGGATTGCATATGGGGGACTGTTTAGTTGAAAGCACATCCTTGACAGAATCTGCTGGCAAAATGAACAGGAAAACAGGATGAGTTAGAATTTTCCTCCCTGGTTCGTCAGCTTTCTGCAGGTGGGAGGATTTTGGCATAGGGGTGTTTTCACCAAAGCCATTACAAATGCGCTTTCCAAAATGCTGTTGACATGAAGGATTGCACCACTTGGCCAGCTGAATTTGATCTGAGGCAGGCATGACGTCTAGAGCAAAGATGGAATGCAGCAGCCCAGAAAGACTGATGGCTTTGAACTTTCTTGCAATTCTCCCTCTCCAGGACAACCCAAGAAGCTAGATCTTGCCAAGAAATGCATCCGCCAATACTTCCCCAGCCGCAAGTGCTTTGTCTTTGACCGCCCGGCCGGAAGCCGAGACTTATCGGAACTGGACGACCTGTCTGAAAAGATGCTAAGCCCTAACTTTGTGGTGCAAGCACACCGCTTCTGCCAGCACATATATGAAAGTGCTCAGCCCAAAATGATCGAAGGAGGACACCTGGTGACCGGGATATGTGAGTAGAAGGGAAGGGACCAGAAAAAATGGATGTGTTAGCAAAGTCACTTAAGTAACACAGACGGAGTCCAGAGGTAGAAAAGGAATCATTGTAACACTTCACAGGAGAGAGGGGAAAGTCCCATTTCACAAGTAGAAATCCCTGACAGATACCCACAACTTAATATAATTGATATAGGAATACAGCATGTCTCACCATAGAAACGCAAGTAGCTAGCTAAAATAAATAAACTGGCTTTCTTCCCTCCCTTTGCAGTGCTGGGGCACCTGGTGGTGACCTACGTGGATACAATCTCCAGTGGCTCCATACCCTGCATAGAGAACGCGGTGGTAGCCTTGGCGCAGATTGAGAACACAGCTGCTGTGCATGATGCCATTACATACTATGAAGCAGAGATAGAGAAACACTTGAAGCTGCCCACTGAGACTATTGAGGAGCTGCTGAAAGTGCACGCCCAATACGAGAAGGAGGCCATTAAAGTGTTCTTGGCTCGGGCCTTCAAGGATGACGATCACGACTATCAGAAAGAACTTGGGGTATGAGGATTAAGTCACCGGTGGGCATGAGATAAGGGGCTCTCCATATCTGATATGGGGAAAACTAGAAGGATTTTGTGTTGGATGGAAAGTTGGCTACTCAGAAATGGGAGGTTCCTTTCTATGGGGCAATGTATTCATTCCTGTCCTAGTTCAGAGACTGAGTAGCCAAGATGTCAAGGGATGAGATCCGGCTCCTTAGCAAGGTTGTGTTGTTGGCCATTGATTGGATGCCATTGGAGCTAGTTGAGTTGAGCTAAGAGGCCCCCAGGAACATGGAACAACTGGCAACCACTTGGTTTTGTTGGGACGAAAAAGTGACCCTGTTCCCAAGGGAGGTGTTTAGAATGAGGAACTCACTGTGGGAGGACCAGTTTGAGGAAAGGACAGAGGGTAGTAGGTGGGCCACCTTTTTCAGGCAAAGTAGACTTGCAGCAGGTCCTGTTATTTGAGGCCTTATCCACACACCATTTGCCCTGCTCTTTCTGAACCTCCCCACTTAAGCAAGTGGCCGTTCCTATATGGGGAAAACTGAAGAGGATTTGTTGCTGGGAGGAAAGTTCGAGACTCAAAACTGTTTCTTTCCTTTTCCACAGAGGGTAGCAGGTTGATGCTTGCCCTGCTTCAGGGAATGACTGGCCAGGATGTCGAGGAATGAGACCTGGATTCTTGGCATGTGTCATGAATACACCAGCTCCCAGGGAAGAAGTGCAGACAGAGGGAGAGAGGAGACAGAAAGAGAGAGGTCTGCAAAACAAAGCTGAGGGAAGATCAAGTTACAGGGACACAGGACAGGAGCAGAGAGGAGAGCGGGAGAATTCACAGAAGTTCCGAGTCCTGAAATGAGGAAGGGGATAGAGTTGACCCCATTAGCCCTCATTCTCTCCTAATCATAGGACTCCAGAATCGCCTTCCTCACAAGAAGAGGGTAGGCTGCTTTTGGTTTCGAAGGAAGAAAAACCCCTAGTGGGAACATCACCAATGATGGACAGCAGGCAGATGTTGCCGCTCTGTGAACCTCGCCCACGGTTTCCAAGACTCCCTGACAGCATGGTTGTGTTGGCCATAGATTGGGTTTGGTTGGAGCCTGTTGAGTTGAGTTGTCCCCAGGAAGGCAGGGCATCCAGCAGCTGCTTGGTTGTGCAGGGACAAGAAGTTAAAGAAGTTGATCCTGTTTCCAGAGAGGTGTTTTGAGGAAGCAACTAATTGTGGGAGTACAATTTTTTGAAGTGGAACAGAGGTTTCTGGACCAGCTGTTCTCTTCTTCAGGCAAAGTGGAATAGCAGCAGTCCTGTTATCCAAGTCCACTAGTCCTTCTATTCATTTCTTCTCCCTCTTAGTTGGCAAATGGGAAGCCAACCAATGACAACGAGATTTGGTTCTGGAGTTTCCAGTTGTTGATCTGTAGCTAAAGCCACTTCTTCTCACATCAAGGGCACCTTGGTCACCCCCCTGGGTCTCCAAATGTGCTTTTTGCACTCGCCCACCTGGTTCTATACACAAATGGATGAGAAGGTTGAATTAGGGGCCCTCCAGCCTCTTACTCCGAATAGGTTAATCTTACATTGCATGTTTGGGTTACATCCTGCTTGCATTTGTTGACGTTGCTGGGAGGGTTGGCCCAATGAAATTTTGTGCTTTCCTGCAGACTTTCCGTTTGACACAATGAAGCTTTTGACTCTGGTGATCCCATTGTTTTACTTTTCCTTTGGCCTTCTGCCTGGGAAAAGAGTGAACCGTGCCAACAGATTTGTCCTTGTTTTTAGGATGCTTAGAGTTTCCAGACTCTCTGGAATGGGGAATATAGGACCATCCTCTACTGCTGAACGTCTGTTCCTATCTGACGCTATCTGCTTCTTGCCCAACCCCAGGAGCGGCTGCAATCCAAACTTTCCGAGTTGTGTTCTCGCAATGAGCAGGCATCGTTGGATCGTTGCCAGGCGGTGCTCCTGGAGCTATTCCAGGACCTGGAAGAGAATTTCGGCAAGGGGACCTACTCTGTGGCTGGTGGTTACCTGAAGTTCCTGGATCACCAGAAGGAAAAATTGGAACAGTATCACCTGCTGCCTGGGAAAGGGATCATGGTGAGTCAGACTCAATGGGAGAGCAATGGGGGGGGGGGAGGATGGCAAGGGCCAGAAGGATACCCCTGAGAAAAAAACTCCCCCTTTAGCAACTTCAGAATGTTATTATTAGTTATATAATGCCAGATGTGTATCCAACAAAGTGATAATGTAAGACCTTATTCGAGCAAGGATTATCGCTGGCACAATGTGGCTCAATCACCCCCATCTCCTTTCCCTGAACCCCCCCTAAATCTAGGGGTCCCTCTGACCCTTCGGAGTAAATTTGGGGAGAGTGTGTGGTGTTTGTGTGTGGGCGGAGTTGAATAGAAACAAACAAACAAACAAACAAACAAACAAACAAACGACTTCACTCTCTCTCAGGCTTCCAAGGCCCTGGAAGAATTCCTGAAATCCAAAGAGGCAGCAGCACAGTCCATTCTGCAGGCTGACCGGACCCTCACAGAAAAAGAGAAGGAGCTTGAAGGTGAATCTGTTCCGGGACAGCTTGTTACGACTCGCAGACACTTAGGCTGCTTCCACACTGGCCATTTAATGTGGAATCGCCACTTTCTGCTTCCACCCTTTTAATGAGATCTCTGCAGGTGGTCATGAAGAAAACATCCCCCTCTCATGCCTTTGTGATTTATCTTCAGTTCTTTTCTGTCCCCCCCCCCAGCAAAAAGAAAAGAAAATCTACATTTTTAAAGCTCAGAAGAAGAGCTGTGTCATTTCCTATCCCCATTTAATGGATGTGGGGTGCCCCTGCAGGGCAGATTCTTGACATCTCGTCTGGAGTCCTCCCAGTAGATGGTGACAGGAGGTAGACTAGAATAAATCTGCAGCTTCTTTCGGAAATTAAAAAAAAAATACCAGCATGAACTCACTGCTTGTCTCTTTCTGTGCAGTGGAGCGAGTCCGGGCCGAGGCTTCTGCACAAGAGGCTAAGCTGCATAAACAAATGAAAGAGGAGGCCATCAAGATGGCCCAGGAGAAAGAGCGGAGTTATAAGGAGCATGAAGCACAGTTAATGGCCAAGATGGAAGAAGACAGGAAGAAGATGCAGGCTGAGCACGAGATGGTGATGAACAGGAAGCTAGAGGTAATAGAACAGCGCCCTCTATGGGCAGCCTTGGTCATCTACACCAGAGGTGGGGAGACTTGGGGCTTGGGGGACAGGTCATAGCTGTCAACCGTCCCTTATTTGGCGGGAAACTCACTTATCCCAGCGCCGTTTCCTGCTGCTGTCCCGGATTGATGATATCCCGTAAATTTCCCGGGTTTCAAAGGAAGCAGCTCCTCTCCCTCCCTTCCTGCCGGCCAGGGAGGAGGAAGGCCCCAACTGGGTTGCTTGGCTGCGTTGCTCACCCAATAAGGAGTCTAAGAACGACTTGGGGGTGGAGCTTGCATGCCTTGTGCCAATCAAATCGGCCGCGTTGCCTGGGGACTCGCCTTTGCTCAGCGCTTCCCAGCGGAGAGGTGACGGTGGTTTTCCCTTGCTGCATCCCCTTTGCCGGGTTGCTGCGCTGTGGGAACCACCGCTTGAGGCTTCGTTTGGCTGCTGGCTGGGCTTTCTGCCTTTGGCTCGGAGGGGCTCAGAAGTTGAACATACCTGTGCTCGGAATCGGATGGATATGTCATCGATGGCCCACTCACCCTTGCCGGGGAAAAGGTCTGTCTGGAGCGGGGGCACATGGGGGGAGGGGGAGGAAATCCCTTATTTTGGCTGCTGATCCCTTATTTTCGAGGCTGCTGGTCCCTTATTTTCAAATCTGTAAGTTGACAGCTATGGGACAGGTATGGCCCCCCCGAGGCGCTCAGGCTCTTTGGAATCGCCTTAGGCCTCTTCGTAGCTACATTTCTTTTTTTCATTTCACTTTTAATTTGTATACCGCCTTTCTATATAACTATGCACAAGGCGGTTTACAGCTACAAAACATACAATAAAGAACACGGGCCTTGGAATAATCTGATCCAATACAGAAAGTCATAATACAACGTATCTTTAAAATGGAACGGCTTATATCAAATTCAGTAATCTAGTAGAATGTAATAGTACACAATGAAATTAACTCTCAATACATGAGCAAATAATAATTAACAATTGCAATGAATAATTAAATTCCTTCCAGTAGCACCTTTGAGACCAACTAAGTTTGTTATTGGTATGAGCTTTCGTGTGGACACGAAAGCTCATACCAATAACAAACTTAGTTGGTCTCAAAGGTGCTACTGAAAGGGTTTTTTTTTATTTTGTTTCGGCTACGGCAGACCAACATGGCTACCTACCTGTAAATAAATAATGACTAAACCATGACCAATAAAAATAACTGCAGGTCACAATGCATAAAATGCCACAATACATACCAAACCATGTAAAAGGATCAAATTGAGAAAAAAAGGACACACAACTGATAACATAATTGTCAGAGCTGCTTCCAGATCCTAGCTCACAGAGGATCACGCTAGCCAGCGGTCACTTGTAAAAGTCTTTTATTGAGTTACAGTTTCCATTCTCAAGCTGCTGCGCGCAACTCTACGTCTTAAGGGTTAGACCGGCGAAGCTCCGTCTGAGTCTCCGCCCCCTGTACACCAACTTAATACCCTAGCCTTACTCCACCTTTTCCGCCTGACTGTTCTTCTCTGGGTCCCTCTGCCCCCCGGGGTCTCTTCCTTCCGGGATTCTTCTGACGCTGACCCCCCGGACCCTCCTGTCTCCTTGCGCCTGGCTTTAGGACCTGGCTCCCTTTCCGGGCTGCTTACTGCGCCACCTTCCTGTGCATTTGAACTTGGCGCGCGCGCCCAACCTTCCACTTTCCGTCTGACCGTTTCTTCGCTCCCCGATGGAGGTGTGACCACTCCTGACTCGTGCCCTCCCTCCTGTTGTGAGCTTCCAGCGCTTGATACCTGGCGCCCTTCCTCTCCCCTGCTCTCTGTGGGTGACGCTGGTCCCGATTTCCCACTGCTCCCCTCTGAGCCCCCTCTGGCCCTTTCTTCCTGGGGTGTCCCCCTAGGCTCCCCCCTTGCCCTGGCCACTGGTGCTCCTTTCTGTGAATCTTCTGATTCACTGGAAAGACTCGGAGATCTCGGGTCGTCGTCATCACTCATCTTTTCTTCTGCCTCCTCCCCCTCGCTCTCTGTTTCCTCCCTTGCCCTTGCCTCTGCTCCTGAACCCCTGACAATAATTATTATTTAAATCCCTAAATTCCTCGCCTCCCTTCCCACCTGTTATGGACCCTACATTACATTCCCCCTTGAGGGTTTTTGCCTGACTAGAATATGCCCTTGAACTCTGACACCACTTGCATAAGATTTCCAAATGTTAATTTACACGGACAGCACCACGTTTAGAAATAATAACTGTAGTAGAAATACAATACATCTCGCTCCAGTGAGGAAGGCAGTGAGCAGGGGATCTGCGTGGTTGCTCAGTCTGTTGTCTAGGCAGGGCTGGGCAATGTATCGATACATCGTCCCATGTAGGTTTGTAGACCACACCATGAGAACCTTTTCAAAACGAATAAGCTGGCAATTTATTTCTGAAGCACAGCTTCCAAAACTCCAGGGGGCGGTATAATTGTGAGTCATCTGACAACTGGCTGGCTGCCGTCCCTTTCGGCTCCCTTTCCCCTCCGATAGCAGAATAGTCCCGCTCCCAGCCTCAGTGCCTCCCTGCAGCCACAATATCTCTACTCAATGTAGGAATCGTGGCTGGGCTGCTTCTTCCTTCTCATCTCTGTCCAGGGAGGAATGGAGTTTGCCCTTCAAAGGCAAGGGCTCACCTTCCTCAGAGAGGAGGGATCCGCATTGCACAGGGTACATAGCAAATAATAAATAAATAAATAAATATTTATACCCTGCCCATCTGGCTGAGTTTCCCCAGCCACTCTGGGTGGCTCCAAACAGATTATTATTATTATTAGTGATAAAACATCAAACATTAAAAACTTCCCTAAACAGGGCTGCCTTCTGAGGTCTTCTAAAAGTCAGATAGTTTTTATTTCCTTGACATCTGATGGGAGGGCGTTCCACAAGGCGGGTGCCACTACCGAGAAGGCCCTCTGCCTGGTTCCCTGTAATCTCACTTCTCACTGTGAGGGAACCGCCAGAAGGACCTCGGAGCTGGACCTCAGTGTCTGGGCTGAACGATGGGGGTGGAGACGCTCCTTCAGGTATACCTGCTAATCTCCATGACCGCTCTTTCACCTACTCTTCACCCTTCCATTATATAGTTCCATGTTTCAGACATTGTGATATATACAGTATCCTATTGTTTAGCTGGGGATACCTTGTGATGTCAAAAACCAGATATCGCCCAGCCCTACAGCCCAGGTGTTGCTGATGAGCCTCTGCTCCCTTCTTAGGGTTCTTTATCTTCCCAATGGATTTGCACTGGGCAGCCTTTAAACAGAGGACTATCCTCTATATAGCATAACACACACGGGCACTCTAGACAGCCCTGTGCCCTTTTATTCATTCCTTCCATTCCAGCTGCTTTGTGAGGAACTGGGGCTGACTTCTATCTTCATCCTTGCCACTCCCTAGGAGCAGAGGCGCCTTCAGAAGGAAGGGTTTGAGCAGGAAGTCGCAAAGCTTCAACTTCAGATCCAGGCACTGCAGAAGACGGTGCAGATGCAGAGAAATACTTGTGGCCCCCGGCCTCGTCGTTGTGTAATTCAATGAAAACAGCATCCCTGGAAGTGTCGATGGGTTGAATAAAGTGTCTAGATTGGCCTCAGGACTGTGGATGGGAGTGCAGCTAGGAAACCAGGGGATGAACGGAGATCTACCTTATGTTACCATTTAGCTGGTGTTTGCAGTCTGTTTGCGCACAAAGGAACCCCAACTCTGCCTTTTTAAGTCTATTTCTAAGGGGTCATCTACACTTCCACTTGATCTGTGCCTATAAAGCACAGGTCTGAGTGGTTTTCCATTTGCCCCGCTCCTTTCCCAAGGAAAACCTGCTTTTTAGTTCTCAATCGAAGCAAACAACAAATCCAAATTGCTGTTTGCACTGATCGAGCACTAAAGAGCAGTTTCCCCCCACCCCCAGGACAAGGGGAAGTGTGGATAAGCCCTAACAAAAGAGAAACATGAAACAGACTGTGACATGAAGACTCGGCCTTGGGCCAGTCACTGTCTCTCCGCCTAACCCATGAGCGTAGCCAGGATTGTTGCTGGGGGGGGGCAGGACCAATGTGATTGGTCAGCTAGTTAAGTATTTCTATTGTTTTATTTGTTTTGGGGTGGGGGGCAGCTGCCCCCTGCCCCCCCCCTTGGCTATGCCCATGGCTTTTGAAGGAAAAGTGGGAAATTAATGCAATATATATTATCATCTATTTTTAAAAAATAAATGCATATTATTGGTTTTTCAGTGAAGTTGTACTGTTGAAAAAAGGAAGAAATCAATAAAGTACAATTGAACAAACAGAGATATCACATCGTTTTTCCTGTGGAGTAAGATATGGGGAGAGAGGGTATAAAGCCAGTATAGACAATACAGAACAAGAAAAACAGCAGCCATTCATGTCAATTCACAGAGCCACCCCCCCAAAGCCAACGTATGGAGCAGAGGGCTTTAAATGTTTGCAGGTGGAATTAATAAGAGTCAGAAATGGAAACCACACGTCTGCAAATGCATCTCTTTTAGCTCACTTGCCCTTTGGTTGGCCTCAAATTATGAGAAAGCCTCTCCATCAAAGCCAGATGCCAGATATTACGACTGTACCATATTATGAGTGTACCAATTTTCAGTGGGGAAGTCCAAGGGTGTTTTCCTCCCTCCTGCTACTGCCCCCCAAAAGACAGCTAATGAGATCCCTGTGAAATAGGTTAGGACCAACAAAAGAGATTGTTCCGTAACATGAGGGAGACTTGGGGACTGTTTGGGCTGGGTATTTTTAGAGACATGGTTAAATACAAGGCCCAGACCTGAGCCACGTGGAGTCAATGCTACCACATAAGAAAGTTGGAGCCCTAAATGGACCATCTGCTCCAGCAATTAGGGGAGAAGCTGGGGCTCATATAGCTCATGTATATCATCATCTTGATACGATTTGAATACAACTCTGGGTGCTGTGGCAGGTTTGGGCTTAAATGCGGGGAAGCTGAGCTGCAAATGCGTGCTCAACTGCGAAGCTCCCTTGAATGGGGTTTCAGAGATGGTGGTGTAACAGGGAGTCCATGGAGCAACCCACAATCGCCTAACCTTGACTCCCATAGGTTCAGGGTGGGGTCACAAGCAAGCGATTTCAGCCAGGAGATAGAAGCAAAACAGCAGCCGGTTAGTCTGATCTTCATTGTTGCAACAAGACTTCCCGCTACCACGAAAACGAAGCAGCCAGGTCAATGGTTACATCCGTATTTTAAAGTTTCCCAAAGTTTCCCATAATACAACTCAGGATGCATCATCAAGACATCATAGATATGTCACAGAAAAGGTGTGGCCTCAGGTAGAACCTGAGATCCAGGCATGCCCCTGTCAATCAAATATAGCCTTTCACACTTACCCCATCACAGTACAGAGAAAGGTATTTTCACTGCCATGATCCTACACTTTGTTGAAGGGAAACTCCCCTCTGGAGTAGAAATAATATATCGAACAGATGGAAAGCTCTTTTATCTCAGTAGGCTGAAAGCTGAGTAAGGTCACCGTAACTTTTGTCATAGAGCTTCAGTATGCTGATGACAATGTAGTGTGGGCACACTCAGAGGATGACCTCCAAACCATCCTAAATTATTTTCGCAGAAGCTTATGAAAAACTTGGCCTGTCGCTCAACATCCAAAAAAAACCCAAAGTGCTGCACCAACAAGCACAAAACAACCTCTTTGCAGCACCACAAATCCAACTCAATGGTGTAACGTTGGAAAATGTAGATCAGTTCTCCTACCTGGGCAGTTATCCTTCCACAAGGGCCAACATTGATGCCGAAATCCAGTATCGCAGCTTTCTCCCGATTGAAGTGCAGAGTGTTTGAGGACGGGGACATTCGCAGGGAAATCAAAATGCTTGTTTACAAAGCTATTGTACTACCAACCTTACTGTATGCTTGTGAAACGTGGAACTGAGAAGATTGATAAAATGAGTGATTTCTATAAAGTTTTCCCATTGAGCCAGTACATAGATACGTTTAACAGTGAATTGCTACATTTGGTATTGACACTTTCCCTGTTTTCCTTTGTTGGAGACCTAGGTTTCAGCGGGGAGTCGTCGGCTCCTGAATTGAGCTTCCCTTGCAAATGCAATGCCTTTGCAGATATGTATGTTGCTGTTATTTTCTCTTGACACTAGAGGATTTGGTTTGACGGGTGAAAAGGCAGCGAAATACCTCTGATATGTGTACTAGTGAATGGTAATGTGCAGCGGAGACTCTTTGTCTTTGCCTCAAGTTGTGGAGAAGCAAGACTCGCGGCGGTGGTGGGGAGGTCTCTCACCTCCCTTCCAATTTCCCGGTAGCAGTGGGTATAGAATCATAGAATCATAGAGTTGGAAGAGACCACAAGGGCCATCGAGTCCAACCCCCTGCCAAGCAGGAAACACCATCAGAGCACTCCTGACATATGGTTGTCAAGCCTCTGCTTAAAGACCTCCAAAGAAGGAGACTCCACCACACTCCTTGGCAGCAAATTCCACTGTCGAACAGCTCTTACTGTCAGGAAGTTCTTCCTAATGTTTAGGTGGAATCTTCTTTCTTGTAGTTTGGTACAGACGTTTCACTGCGCACACGTGTAGGCAGCAGGCGTCCCCGCCCCTCCTACAGTCCCTAGAGTCCATGTCACTTATTCCCATCTCCCCTTTCCTCCAAGGAGCAAGAGGCGGCAGACCCGGGTCTTCCTCGCTCCGTTTCATCCTCACAACCCTGTAAGATCCCGACTCTTTCCCTACCATGGGGGAAAGCGGAGGGTGGGCGAAAGAGATACAGAGGCCACACACATACAAAAAAGCCGGGAAAGCTGATCTGGCCTTTCCCACGACCGTGGCAGTGGCGAGGGGAGGACCAGGCAGGCTCCAGACATGGGACTTCCCCCCGGGAAGGGCAATGCGAGATTGCGTCGCGTAAAAAAACGCCCCTCCCCGCAGCAAGCGAAACCGAAAGTACAGCTGCGCGTCGGCGAAGCTTGAGCCGCGGGGTCTCCAGGCAGCGGTTCCTTCGCTGGATTATCTCCTCGTCTTCCTGGGGGGAAATCCTGCGGCTCCCTTGCACTGCTTTCCGCACCAGGACGCGCCTGCCGTGCGTGCCGGATCAGCGTCCCACGACCAGGTTCGCGTGCCGGGTTCCGCCACTTTCTTTCCTCCCTAAACTTCCAAGAAAGGATTGTGTAACGCGTCGGAGGAAGAGGAGGGGTGAGTTTGCGCGGAGGAGTGAAGGGGGGCTGGGGACGGAGTCTTTTTGCTTTGTCTTAAAAAAAAAACCTTTTTAAACAAATAAAACAACACACTGCAACAAACAATTACGATAAACCACAATCTCTTCTATAATGCACCAGGCGGGTGATGGTGAAAGTCTTTGGGAAACCAAACAAGCTATGATTCAGCCGGTCCCTCCCAAACAAAGCCAGGCACTGTTATTGTAGCGAAATGTTTTGGGAGGCAGCCAACGTTTTATTTTTAGTTCTGTTCGTGCAGGTCCTCTGCGAGGAGGAAAGGAGTCTCCTAACAGAAGCCAGCCCCGTCCCCCTAACAGGCTACAGCTGTTTGGGAAATCATGGCTGTTCAAAAGTGCTTTCAATGGTGTAGTAGAGAGAGCCCTTAATTGGCCCCAAAGCAGCGTGATATACCACTTGCACTTGGGGAAACTGGGTGACTGTTCCACCAAGTGAAGGAAGTCGGGTTTTCTGAGCCCTGAAAGAATAAAAGGTAGCTGATCAGGGAAAACAAGAGAGGGAGGTGTGTTGCTCTATGAAGTACAGATGCCCTTTGAACAGTGAGTAAAATATGGCTGTTTCACAGTGACTGTCCAGTGTGGAAGTGGAATGTATTAACCTTGAAAATGCCCCAACCTCTAAACAGCTACCTGGACCATCACTCCAGCCATCTCTGGCAGCAGCATCTTGAAGTATTCTCCTTCCTGTTCTTGACATTCAGTCCCGTCCCGCCCCCCGAGATTTGGGAGCGGGAATCCCTGATCGGGACCTTGTGCAGAGTAGGAATCAACAAGCTCTCCACAACAAGAAAAAGTTCCAAAGTTCTACTGCAAATAATCTCTAAATTTATTACAAAAAAGTTGCAAATACAAATCAACACATTGCTTTTAAACAACTAGTAATGCAGTCCATTTTTTTTATTTTAGGTTCTTACTTGTTAATACAGTTAAAGAACTATTCTCTTTCTTGTCCCAGAGAGAGATTCAGATAAGCAACTTGCTTCTCAATAAGCTGGCAGTTTCTGAGAGAGACCCAGACTCCCAAGGATGAGTCACCAATTAAAATAAACACTGAAAATAATTTTCCATCCCCTTGTTGCAGCTATAGCTGCAAAAACACTTTTTTCTTTTTTCCTTTATTGCACTTGTACAATTTTCTGCAAAACAAACATCCTGCAAATGCAGACCACTAAGTTTCATACACAATGCACACAAACGTAGCATTTTGTGAGTGTTAAACATATACCCTTTGCAGCATACAGATTCCTCAGTGTCCCCGGTCTCCGTCCTGGCCTGGTTTTGACCAGAGCTCAGCCAAGCATCATGGAAGAGCCAATGTGCCTGATCGAGAACAACCCCAATGAACAGCTGCGGGTCAACCAGGAAGCTCTGAAGATCTTGCAGAGCATCCAGCAACCCGTGGTTGTGGTGGCCATCGTGGGACTGTACCGCACTGGCAAGTCCTACCTCATGAACAAGCTGGCAGGAAAGGACAAAGGAGGTAGGAACATAAGACATACTTTTGTGGGGTTGGGTATGGCCCACGGCATTTAGCTGCCTGTGGCAGTAAAGCAAATGGTTCCCACTCCCCCGGCTGTTGCCCCACCCCCAAGCTAAATTATGTAATACTCAAGTCTAGTCAAGTGATTTTGGTATTTGAAGCAGAAACTCCTCCAAGCACATAGCAGAAACCACTGCCTGTTCATGACACCCAAAATCTGCTGCCCAAGGTGATGTTCTCACTCTACCTAACAGTAGGACTGGCCCGTATACTTGCTCTGTGAGCTGGCATTCTGGTCCTCCTTGCAGACTTGCAGGAGCGTTGCTTGCAGGTATCTGAATGGCCACTGTGAGACTAGAATGCTGGACTAAACGGGCCAGGCTTTCCTTATGTTCTTCAGTGCAGTGAAGCCTTTCCCATTGACTCCCATCTCTCCCCCCCCCTCAGTACAAGAGGAGCTTACGCTCTTGACCGATTTATTTTATTTCAACCATTTGTATGCCACTTAGCACAGTAGTTTGTAAGCGGTGTAGAAGGGATGTTACAAAAAGATACAATCGAATCAGTTTAAAATAACCCCTGATCGTTCTGCTGGAATAAGAGGCATTGTCACTGAGTGCCAGAAGTTCAACAGTGAGGGGGGAATTGTCTGCCCTCAGCCTGAAGGAAGTTCCATATAACTGAACACACAGTTCCCAGCGGATAGGAGCAGTGTGTCTGAGCTATTGGGGGAACCACTCACAGTGAGTCCAGCAAAAATCTCAACCATCAGGCAGGGATATAAGGAACCACCAGAAGTCCTTGGTGGTGGATCTCAGTGTCCGGGCAGAACGATGGGGGTGGAGATGCTCCTTCAGGTATACTGGGCCGAGGCTGTTTAGGGCTTTAAAGGTCAGCACCAACACTTTGAATTGTGCTTGGAAATATGCTATGCTTTGAACACGGACATCTATGTGTGAGCAGATACTCCTGTTTTCTGTACTACTAGGATTCCCGTGCTCTCTGGGGCTGTGATATCACCTATACCCTCAGTGCATGTGTGGACATCCCTGACGGGGTTTGTACGCTATGGGCTCTGGGACCAGGAGGCATGGTGTTGCTCTGACCTCCACACCCTCATCTATAGGCATGGAAGACTGCTCTAAAAAGTGTACCCGAAACAGTTAAGACGATTTCACACTACCCAGAAACCTGAGACTTGATACGCATGACGCCTAAGGCACCTTGATTTACCAGCAAGTCAGAAGTGTTGACATTGTATGTTTTTGTTGGCAGCGGTTGAGAAATTGCAGAGCTGCATACCTCACCGCTTCTGTCCTTCCCATTTCTACACTGCCCGCTATAGGTTTCTCTCTGGGATCCACAGTGCAAGCAGCCACCAAAGGTATCTGGATGTGGTGTCGCTCGCATCCCCTAAAGCCTGACCACACCCTGGTGCTGTTGGACACGGAAGGGCTGGGTGATGTCGAGAAGGTGAGTTAGGGGTGGGGGCAGCCAGGATAGCTCACTGTGGAGCCTTTATCTGCAAGAGGACTTCAGAGATCAGGACCACTGCCTAGTTAGCAGGAGGCACACTAGGATGTGGTGGGAACAGGACAGCACCCCAGGGGCCCCAAAGGATGGAGAGATTTCAGAGAGATCTGAGATTTCAGACAAAAAAAATGCCAACATTCGCATTCTTGTCCCATGCCAGGAGTGGAAATCGATGGATATGACCCATATTGAAATGAACAGGGTGAATAGTGACAATGCAACTTGCTTACTTGATGCAATTTCCATAACCAATCACATAAATTGTGTAAGTTGTGGAATTTTGCTGCAGCAGACAGCCAGACAAATAACTGTGTTTGGCAAAAGATGAACTGCAGTGGAATGGAAACAGTGCTGCGTACGACACGTATGGTTTATGATGCCATCTTACGCCCCTAGTGGAGACCTCGGTCCAGTTCTAGCGCCTTGTTGCCCTGGAGTTTTATGCTCACTGTCCTCCTTTGCAGAGCAACCCTGAGAACGATGCGTGGATCTTTGCCCTCTCCATTCTGCTTAGCAGCACCTTTGTCTACAACAGCATGCACACCATCGACCAGTATGCTCTGGAGAAACTGCAGTATCTTTTTGTAAGAGTGCTCCCTGGCAGAAACACGGGTTAGTGAAGTGTATGGGAATCCTAATGCTGTGATGTCTCATCAGGCCCTTGTCAGGTGTGACAATGAGGGCTCCAGGGTCCTTAATTGAGGGGCAGGAGTATTTTTAAGTGGAAGTCCAAAAGGGCTTCAAATGAAGGAGCTGGAGGGGGAGAGAGCAGACTTCTCAGAATGATGCAGTACCTTGTAGAGGGGTCTTTGTAGAATTAAAATTTGTTGAGCTTTATGGAATTGGGAACGTCTGTTAGAGGGATTAAGAGACTCTTAAATTATACTAGTTCTGTTTGTACAGCCTCCTTCCTCTCCAGTTTGCCGAGCAACTTTAAGTAAGGTATAAAGGTAAAGGTAAAGGTCCAGTCGTGACCGACTCTGGGGTTGCGGTGCTCATCTCACTTTATGGGCCGAGGGAGCCGGCGTTTGTCCGCAGACAGCTTCCGGGTCATGTGGCCGGCATGACTAAGCCGCTTCTGGCGAACTGGAGCAGTGCATGGAAACGCCATTTACCTTCCCGCCAGAGCGGTACCTATTTATCTACTTGCACTTTGATGTGCTTTCAAACTGCTAGGTTGGCAGGAGCAGGGACTGAGCAACGGGAGCTCACCCCGTCATGGGGATTCAAACCGCCGCCCTTCTGAGCATCAAGTCCTAGGCTCTGTGGTTTAACCCACAGCGCCACCCGTGTCCCAAGTAAGGTATAGCTGTAAGTTAAGAAACATTGTTAAAAGATGGGGGAAAGGAAAAAAATGGGATATACTGTATAGGAGTGATCCATCAAAGGGAAAAAAAGACCGGGGTCCTATTTTGCTGCATGTTTTGATGGGGGTGAGGATTGCATATCCACTTTAGCATATTTTTTTTTAATTTAGCGTTTTCTAAAACAAAACACCTAGGGAATTGTGAAGCTTAGTGCAGTAAGTGAAAATGCCAAGCCATTCCAAGTCAGGGTGATTTCGACTTCTGTGAGGGCAAATCCAGGTTTAAAAGAAAGGTGCATAGTGCCATTTCACTGCACAATTCAATGAGAAGTAAAATGACTTGCACCAGAGAACCCTGGGAAATGTAGTTTGGTGTGTGTGGGGGGGGATTAGACTTCTCCCTTGGCACAGGCTTGGCCAACCTGTGGTCCTCTAGTTTGGCTGGACTACAACTCCCACATCCCTGACCACTGGCCCGAATCCCCATCCCTGAACAAAAACTGAAAGGGAGAGAGTCAGCTGAGATTCTCAAGGAAGGACGTTACACAGCCTTGGGGCTGCTACTGAGAAGGCCCTGTCTGGTGCCCCAGTCAATTGTGTCTCTGAAGGGCAAAGGAAACAGAACCTGACTTCTGGTGATGATCACAGAAAGGTAGACAGAGGATACCAGTATAGATATCACAGACACAAAACATTGTAAGGAGGGACTGTTGAGAAACTATTATTCTATTCTGGGATGGGGGTGGGGAAACATGACTCATTTCCTTAACTCAGTCCCCAGCTACGTGTCTGAATTAACTGAGCATATCAAGGTGAAGACATCGGCCAGGCAGAGCAGTAACAGATATGATGAGATGCCTGATGACTTTGCCTTCTTCTTCCCAACCTTCATCTGGACTGTTCGGGATTTCACACTGCAGCTGACGCTGGATGGGTGCCCTATTTCAGAGGACGAGTATCTGGAGCACGCACTGAAGTTGAAGAAAGGTGCTGTGGGGAGCTTTCCTTGCTTGAAAAGATTGGGCCTTGCTGCTTTTGAAGCGGAGGCCTAGTAGGGTTGCTTGTAAAAAGAAAACCTGAAAGTGGTTTACAAAAAGAATGCAACGGTGACATTACCAGTACAGTGGTACCTCGGGTTACATACGCTTCAGATTATATACGCTTCAGGTTACAGACTCTGCTAACCCAGAAATAGTGCTTCAGGTTAAGAACTTTGCTTCAGGATGAGAACAGAAATTGTGCTCCGGTGGCGTGGCAGCAGCAGGCGGCCCCATTAGCTAAAGTGGTGCTTCAGGTTAAGAACAGTTTCAGGCTAAGTACGGACCTGCGGAACGAATTAAGTACTTAACCCGAGGTACCACTGTACAATTAAACAGTTTAAAACTGCATTGCAGGGGGTTGAACTACCGTATTTTTCGCTCTATAAGACGCACCAGACCACAAGACGCACCTAGTTTTTGGAGGAGGAGAACAAGAAAAAAAATATTCTGAATCTCAGAAGCCAGAACAGCAAGAGGGATCACTGCACAGTGAAAGCAGCAATCCCTCTTGCTGTTCTGGCTTCTGGGATAGCTGTGCAGCCTGCATTCGCTCCATAAGACGCACACACATTTCCCCTTACTTTTTAGGAGGGAAAAAGTGAGTCTTATAGAGCAAAAAATATGGTAGATGCTTTCCAATTCTATGATTCTTTGATTCTAAAACAGGTTCCTAATACTTTTTTTAAAAGTATTTAAAATCCACAATAAGATAAAAACCAGATTTTTTAAAAAAGTCAACATTCTTCAGGTCTGGATAGGCTTGTCCAAGGAAAAAGTGTTTTAGCAGGTGCCGAAGAGAGCATAGGGAATGTGATTGCCTGATGTCAGTAAGCAAGGAGTTTCAAAGTATGGGTTCTGCCACACTAAGAGTGATTTCTTGCAAATGTGGACCTGGTATTGCATGGCAGCTGTGCCAGTTATGCAGATCAAAGCAGTCAAGTGAGCAAATACAGTGGAACCTTGGGTTACGTTACCCTCAAGTAAAGTCAACTTTGGGTTGTGAAAGTGGCAAACCCGGAAGTGTTTCACCGCTCGCGCATGCACAGAAGTGCGAAAACTTCAGTTGCGAAAACTTCGGGATACGGCCGGACCTCCGGAACGGATCCCGTTTGCAACCGGAGGTACCACTGTATATGGTGTAAGGCAGCCTTGCAGGTAAATGGTCCCTAGCTGTTGAAGCACTTTATACTAACGGTATTATGTGTAATTTGATTCTATATTAGATGCCCCCAAAAAGCAAGATCTTCCAAAGAAATTTCTGCGGCAGTATTTCCCCAACCGCAAGTGCTTTGCCTTTGAATGCCCAGCCTCACGGAAAGACTTGGCCGTCTTGGAAGACCTCCCGGAATCGAGGCTGAGCGCAGAGTTCGTGAAGCAAACGCACTGTTTCTGCAACTACATTTATGAGAACGCCCAGGCCAAAGTGATCCAGGGAGGGCACTTGGTGACTGGGACATGTGAGTGGAAGCAGGGGAAAATATACTGAAAAGGCTCCTGGAATATTCCATATGGGACAGAGGTTGGGCATCTTTGGCTCATCAGGGTTCCATTTTGACTTATGAGGCCATTTTTTCCAAAACCATAACCGCCTGTCTATTAGCTAATATCAGTCCAATGCATGTGTGACATCAGCTGTTGGGTGGGTGGGGGCAATTCTATGTTGGCTGCTCATACCAGTTCTCCACACAAAAAACTGGCCCACGCAGCCAGTACAGCAGGATTAGGGCTAATCCTGCTCCATTTTTCTTTAGGGAACTCACCCATGTAGCCAGAGCAAGGAGGATTTAACCCTCATTCATCAGGTGATGAGTGGGGAGTTCAATCCTGCTCGGTTTGGCAGGATCACAGCTTCCATTGAAACAAAGTCCCCCTGTCCCCTCACTTTAGCAGTGCCTTTCTTCCTGCAAGAGGCTTTGAAGTCTGAACTTCAGAGCACCAAATCGACTGTGACGCCAGGTGATGGTCAAGTGGGTTGCCCTGCCCACTTCTCACATTTGGTACCAAAGGTCAGTTCTCATAAGAATCTGGCCCATGAAGCCAAAGAAAATTCCCAGTCCAAATACAGATCTACTCAGAAGCAAGTCCCATTGGATTTGAGGGAGTCACTCGCAAGTATAGAGAGGATTTTTAAAAATCTTTTTGTTTAGTGCAAGCGGCCAAAATTTAGACATTAGTTCTTTGGAGAAGGGTCTGGTGTTGTATTAAGAAAGAACCCTCTGGATTTGATGAACTAAAACAGCTGTTGCCTCCATGAGTTCCCTGGATGAAGAAAGACAGAAAGTTAATTAAATAAAATAGACAACTGAGTTAGCCTGCCCTCCTCTCCCTTTTGCAGCCCTGGGGAGCCTAGTGGAGACTTACGTGGACTCCATCCGCAACGGATGTATGCCTTGCATCGAGAATGCTGTGGTGGCCTTGGCTCAGATCGAGAACCAGGCCGCCGTGAAGGATGCGCTGAACCGCTATGAGGCAATGGTGGACCTCATGTTGAGTCCTCCCACTGAGGACGTCACAGAGGTTCTGCAAGTGCACGCTGCTTGCGAAGAGGAGGCCATTCAAGTGTTCCTGGCCCGTGCCTTCAAGGACGATGACCAAGTGCACCAGAGAGAATTAGGGGTACAGGATTCTATGTCTCTCGTGGGAATAGGATGTTGGCCCTATTGGTTGGTTTCCTAAGTTCAAAGAGCCTTTTCTGTCTGCTGCAGAACTCCTGTGCATCCCAGCAAATCCTGGAGCACGTTCTAAGGCAGGGACAGCCAATGTGGTAGCCTTCAGATATTTTGGACTCTTAGTTCCCACCATTCCTGACCATCTCCCATTCTGGCTAAGGATGATGGTAGGTTGGGAGTCCAGCAACATCTGGAGGGGAGCATATTGGCTGACCTGGTTCTAAGCATAGGATGCTGCTCAGGCCCTTTGGACCACATTCTTGCCCTGAGTAAATGGCGGGGGTATCTTGGACAACATTGAAGACTCTTCTGTGACTTCAAGTTACAGGGGAAGATTGGCAGTGGTGGAGAAGCAGTATTTCAGGGAAGCTTGTCCCCCCATTGATCTCCTTTTTAAAATAAAATACTTTTTTTATATTTCCCCCATTTTTAACAAAAGGAGAAATAGTATCTTAATCTGAGTTGTTCCCCTATCATGTTCATGAGTAGGGATGGATTAGCCTGTCAATTTTGGTTTGTGTCAGTTGCTCGTTTTTCCAGTCTTAAATGGGAAAATCTCAATGAGTTTCCAAGGAACAGCAGGGTTATATCATCTGAAATTGCTCCAATTAATATCTGGGCCCGATTCAGAAAGATTGGTTGGAGATTTCCCCCCCAAGTTTAGGATGAACCAGCTTAGATGGCGGACGATGAAGATCTGGGTTGTTGGAAGGAGTGGACCACCTATGAACTACCTTGGTCAGCTGGACCAGCAAAGAGGTTCAGGGTTGGAGAACTCCTGGAACAGGGGATAACAGGCTTTTCTTTATTAGGGAACATCTGCTTTATCTGACTCTGCCCACCTCTCTCCTCCAGAGGCAGCTACAAGAAAAACTTCAAGAGTTGTGCACTCGCAACGAGCAGGCGTCATCAGACCGTTGCCTGGCTGTGCTCCTGGAGCTATTCCAAGAAATGGAGGAGAGGATTAGCAATGGGGAATATGCAGTGCCTGGTGGCTATCAAAGGTTCCTCGAGGACCAGAAGAAAGTAGTGGAGAAATATCACCAGGCGCCTGAGAAGGGAGTAATGGTATGTTGGTCAGCAGCCTTGGCTTCTTGGGTTAAAGTTTGAGCCTGCTCTTGCATGGGGTTTCCTATTTTCAGTGGGTGCTTCCAGATGGGAGCTTAATATTACAACTGGGTCATTTGGATATTGCAAACAAGTCACTGGCAATAGGATTTTAGTTAAGTTTTTCGTATGGTACATCCAGATTAAGGGGGTACGGGGGATATGGACTTGCTCTTTGATGGCAGAAACACCAGTCACATGACCTGCCCCATACATTTAAAGCACACAGCTTCCTCCAAGGAATCCTAGGGATTGCAGTAAAACAGTTCCCAGGATTCCTTGGGGAAAGCTGTGCGCTTTAAATGGATCATGTGACATGTGAGGTCACTGTGAAAATTGTGTATGCACGAGGATTGCCAGTTCACAATAGATACCCACCTGGAAGTGCCCAGAGCCGTCTTTTGTGATTCTTCTCCAAGTTCCAAATGAGCCACCTCACTCTCTTCTCTTCAGGCTCCCCAGGCCCTGCAAGACTTCCTGGAATCCAAGGAGACAGCAGCCCAGTCCATTCTGCAGGCTGACCAGACCCTCACGGACAAACAGAAGGAGCTTGAAGGTGAGCGCCTGTCCAGTAGGCTTTGTTTGCCTTGAAGACATACTGGCCCCAACAGGCCATTGTAGCTGCGAAAATATGATAACACAGTAAACAATGGATTGTATCTACAGTCATACCTCGAGTTGCGAATGTGATCTGTGCAGAAGGCACTTTCACATCCCGCAGCATTTGCAGCCTAAAGTGCTGCGTCTGCGCATGTGCGTGATATCATTTTGCGCTTCTGTGCATGCGTGTGACATCATTTTGTGTATTTGCGCGTGCGCCGAAACCCGGACGTAACCTGTTCTGGTACTTCCAAAATACGCAACCCACAGTGTTCATAACCTGAGGTATGACTGTAATGCTGGTCCTACAGAGTGCACCCAGTGAAGTTAATGAACCTAAGTTAGTCATGTCTGTTAAGTTCAATTGGTCTACTCTGAGTAGGACCAGCATTGGACACAACCCACTAAGACTCTGTGTAAGTACAGTGGTAGGTACTCATTATCCCAAACCTAGAGCAAAAGTCTGACAGCTCCCTCTGTCCCCCTGCTCACATCATTCCATGGGACGGACTGCAGCAAGGAGATGGCTTGTCTGCACCCAAGTAAAGATAAACACAGTCTTCATGGGCTCAGTGGTCTAAACCACTGGGCCTCTTGGGCTTGCCGATTGGAAGGTTGGCGGTTCGAATCCCAGTGACGGAGTGAGCTCCCACTGCTCTGTCCCAGTTCCTGGCAACCTAGCAGTTTGAAAGCACGCCCATGCAAGTAGATAAAAAGGTACCGCTGTGGCGGGAAGGTAAATGGCATTTCTCTGTGCTCGGGTTTCCATCACGGTGTCCTGTTGTGCCAGAAGAGGTTTAGTCATGCTGGCCACATGACCCGGAAAGCTGTCTGGGGACAAACGCCGGCTCTTTCGGCCTATAAAGCGAGATGAGTGCCGCAACCCCATAGTTGCCTTGGCTGGACTTAACCATTCAGGGGTCCTTTACCTTTTACCTTTACATCACATGGAAACACAGGTGCCTGGTATTAACCATTGCCTGGGGTCTCTTGGGAACACAAGTGGGTGGTATTAACCATACCTCCCCCACTAGCTATGCCTGGGGCCTGTGGATACATCAAAGCATGTGAAGCACACATGAGCTCAGTGCTGCAGCTGCTACCGATTAGGCAGGGGTCATCTTGACCATCAATATGCAAAGTTTCCAGACCAGCTTATTTTCAGTTCAACACACCAGGCCTGATCCAGGAGGCTGTTCTTATGTTCTTCATTACAAGAGGACACTTCATTAAGCGGTGCTTCCATGACGAGCAACACCTACTTAACATTCCCTCTTCCACCAAGATAATGTGCAGAAGCCCTGACCTATATCTGCCCACCTAAATTACAGGCCACTCTAAAGAGCAGGGCGCATTGCAGGGCAGGGAATAGGATGGCTGTGACCTTCTGGAGGTGGCTGGGCTGCATCTCCTGCCCCTCACTAATGGTCACATTGGCTGAGACATGCTGAAGACCCAACTGAAATCTGGAAGGCCTCCTCTGTTCTACAGCTTGAAAAACACCACTGGTGGGAGAAGACATTCCTGCTAACTGTGTTCCTCCCCCATTATAGTGGAGAAAGCCAGGGCTGAGGCCGCCAGGCGGGAAGCTGAGCTGCAGAGACGGATGCAAGAACAGGCCGAGCAGATGATCCGGGAAAAGGATCGGAGCTATGAGGAGCACAAGCGCCAGTTGTTGGCCAAGATGGAAGAAGACAGGAAGGCCCTCCTGGCTGCGAATGAGAGATTGTTGAACCAGAAGCTCCACGTAACAGCCCTTCTATGCTCCCATATTGTTTGCTTTTCTTAAAAAAGATGTTTCAATACATGCAGTTCCTTATGTGTAGGTCTCATGATCAGCAAGGGCACACCAGTAAGTGGAGCTTAAGGGGGCCCTCCCAAACTGGTGTTTCATTGTATCCTGTGACATGTTCTTGACACAATGGTTAGTGCACTAGGGATGGCTATATTATTCTACAGGCCACATTCACACCATGCATTGAAAGCCCCTGTGATACCACTTTGAACATCAGCAGCTTCCTTCAAAGAATGATGGGAGCTGTCGTTTGGTAAAGGATGCTGAGAGTTCTTTTGGAGGCCCCCTATTCCCCACCCCAGAGCTATAATACTCAAAGTTCCCTGTGAAAAGGGATTGAATGTTAAACCCCTCTGGAACCACCCTTCATCTTGCTTCCTTGGCTAGAGAGTGGAGCATGTGTAGAAGCTAGCCTACTGTCAGACGCAGGTCTCCGTTGTTGGTGAAGTTGACTCTTCAAGGAAACGAATATGCAACTTGGCTTTGCGGTCTCAGCAACACTCCCCAGTAGGTCTTGCCCCATGGAAGGGTTGCCAGGACTGAAGGTCCCTGTCTTCCACCCTCTCTAAGGCGCCTCCTCTTCCTGGATGTTTCCCAAGCAGTCTCAAACTGCATTGGCATGCCTCTGGCCTCTGCTTAGCCCATCTCGGAGACCACTGGTTCTCAGAGGCAAGTGGAGAGGGGAGTTTGTCGCAGCAGGAGAGGGAGACTTCCTGGGTTCTTCAGCCGTCCCTTGACCACCTCCGCTCCTCTGCTTCAGCCTCAGAGTCTGAACTGCTCCCTGTCAGGTTCTTCCTGCTCACTAAACCCTGTGCCCCTTCAGCATCTGACACCTTCTCCTGTCCAGCCAGTCCCTGACACTTACTATACAAGGCTACAAAATTTATATGAATTGTTCCAACCACTTTTGCTTCTGCCCCCTCCCATCACTGACATGTGCTCTCTGGAAGATGGTCCAGAAGGAAATGTGACCCTCTTTGCTTCATGGGCAGGGGATGAAACATGTTTTTGTTCATTCCTTGAAAACTTCCATGGATCCTGGGATCTGCTGGGAGCTGGCAGCTCTGGGTTCTGTTGTAGCCCAGTTCCATCTGTTTTGTGATCCTCTATGCTTCCCTCTCTCCCTCCCTCCCTCCCTCTCTCTCTCTCTCACACACACACACACACAAATGTGTTACAATTAACAGATGCTGACTTTGTTATGCATCTCTCCACCCCCTTCCTCTGACAGGAGCAGAGGCGTCTTCAACAAGAAGGATACCAGCAGGAATTCTCAAAGCTTCAATCTCAGGTTCAGAGCTTGGAGTCTCAGATACAGCAACAGAGGAGTCAGAAAAGAAGAGGATGTGTGATCTCTTGAGGACTGCATGTCTGAACAGCCCTGATGGACTGAGTGAACGAAGGGTAAATCCTGGCCTGGCTTCAGGGCTGGGGATGTGGTTCAGCTGGGGTGGGAAAAGGAGAGAGCTCTACTTTGTACCTCTTTTAATAGATATTTGCAGTGTGCCTATACACATGCACATGATAATTTTTTTTGCTGCATTTTCAAAAGAGCCGGGATAGGTCGCAGAACGGAGGTTTCTGTGTAAAGATTAAGAGTACCATGGTACCTATGGTTACAAACTTAATTCGTTCCGGAGGTCCGTTCTTAACCTGAAACCGTTCTTGACCTGAGGTACCACTTCAGCTAATGGGGCCTCCCGCTGCCACCGCACAGTTTCTGTTCTCATCCTGAGGTAAAGTTCTTATCCTGAGGTACTACTTCTGGGTTAGCGGAGTCTGTAACCTGAAATGTTTGTAACCCGAGGTACCATTGCATTGTATCCAGGCTTACAATGCAATCCTAATCATATTTACTCCAAAGTAAGTCCTGTTGTATTTAGTGAGCTTCCTCCAAAGCAGAGTTAGGGTTGAAGTATTAGACATGTTTACAACAGGTGAAGCCAGTTGGACTTCATTAGACTAACATGATTTCAACAAGTTTACTCTAAGGCTGTAGTTCTAACTTCATTGATTTTAATAGGACTTGCTTTTGATACAATCTTTATTGTCATTGTCCCATACAGAACAACAAGTAAGCTTGGTTAGGGTTGCATCCTAAGTTGGGCTCCAACCCAAGATTTTCAGCTTGAAATTATCTGAAGGCAAGTTAAGTGTGTGGAAAACCTATTTGGTTTAGATGTTTGGAACTGACCACTGATTTTTCTATCCATGAAACTCAGAAGGATGGGTTTTGGGAAATGGGAAATAGAGGTCATCCACCATCATCCCACTTGTTTATTTCAGTATGTGTGTCATTATTCCTGAAGGGCATCCTTTATCTCGGGCAAATTCACTGCACCTGTGTACTGACTTCTGTTCTAAACAATTACCTGTGTCTGTGTGGAGTGAATTAGTCTTCAGGGGGCGTTTACAGTGTTGTCTATGGTTGGTACATTCAACTGCATTTTGATATGGATGGTGCTAATATAAAACCAGATGGTTGGGTCCATCTCTTAGGAAGAAGATAGGAAGCTGCCTGGTACATAGTCAGATCACTGGTCCATTTGATTTTGTCTGCACTGACTGGGGTTTCAGATAGGGACATTCCCAGCCCTATCTGGAGATGCCAGGAATTGAACCGGCGACCCTCTGCATGCTAAGCAGCTCCTCTACCACTGAGCTAAGCCTTTGCCCCTCTCCTGCATTGCTAAGAACACTCAGAATCAGCTGTGTGATGGGGCTGTTGCTGCACAGTCCACATGTACGAAGCAGCTTAGGTGGAGAATCCCTCATATTTGGCTCGTGGTGCTGTGTGTTATGAACTGGTCTGCAGCCAAAGATGGGTAAATGTGTAGCTGCTGTGCTTTTGCAACCTCTGAATTCCTCACCCCAAACCCAGATTCCTGGCATCCCTTCACCCATCTGCACTATTGACAAGGGAAGGAGGAAGGAATCTATTCAGTTGCAGTCAGTTTGCTGGACTGGGGCTGCTGCCAAGTCTTTTGAGCTGAATCCCCTCTCCCCATGCGCAGAATGATGGGGGGGGTGTCTTATGCATGCTTACTCTGAAAGTATTGCAGCCTGAGACCTGTCACTATGAGAATTGTACTGAAAATGTGCATGAAGTGCTTGTGTGTTTCAGTATTATTATTTTTAAATAAAAGCTTTTGTCTTTGAGTGTTCCTGCTTTGTTTCTAGTCTCTTCAGCTAACATATTTTTAAATGTTTTTATTTTGGAGAATTGTTGTACCAGCTAGCATTGCCAATTCTACCCCATTCCAGGAAATCGGGCAATCAACACTCTTGCCAAGGGAAAGAGTTCAGTGATCTCAGTACCACTCACAGGTTCTGTGTTGGGGAGCCATTATTTCCCAAGGTTAGGATACCGTGTTAAATCTTAAAACTAAGTCAAGGAACTAGTCGGTTCTCAATATGACAGTTGAGCAAGCAGACACAACTGCCTCATTTGCTTGTGAAGCAATTTCTCCATTGAGAAAGACTTGCGGTTACAGCTAATTGCGGCTAAAAGGTCATCTCTTTGGGTCTACTCAGTTTGGACTGTCACAGCTTTCCCCATCAAATGCAGACCCTGAAATTTGTTTAAAGAGTGTTTAGTCAAGTTAAAGGAAGGTGGGAAGTTATAAGTGTGGTTGGTGAGGAAATAGTAAAAAGTGAGGTCAGAGAGATATGAAATGCAGAAAAGTACAGGATTGCGGCAATTCTGAGGACGCATGGTGAGAGACAGGCAGAGGGGTGCAAAAAAAGGGAAGGGGGAAATGAGTGGCTGCTGGTTCCTGCCCCATCAGGGCAACATTTGGGGGCAGACGTCCAGGGCCCCAGGGCCAGGCTTGCTACTGCAAAAGACCGAGGGTGTGTGTTCGCATTACTGCCTCAAAGTGCAGTGAAGTTTTTGAGGGTTTTTGTGTGTGTGCACATTTCTCTTCTCCCTCCCTCCCACCCAGCTCCTTTTTATCTGTAAAAGAAAATAACAAGCATTTAAAACATTCAGAAATAATAGTTAAAATCAACTGTAATCTAAAACCAGATTAAAACACATGACAGGCTGGATATTCGATGTGCTCATAGGCCCTCCTCCCAGGTTGGTCACCCCTGCTCTGGTGCCACAGAATAATGTTGCACGCCACCTCAATCTGAGGTGCAGGGTTCAATTTCCATGGAATGAGGGTCAGTGGTGACTGGTGTCTTTATGATATATGGTTTATTTGCATATATAAGGTAAAGGACCCCTGGATGGTTAAGTCCAGTCAAAGGCGACTATTGTTGCACAACCCTCATCTTGCTTTCAGGCAGAGGGAGCCAGGGTTTGTCCACAGGCAGCTTTCCGGGTCATGTGGCCAACATGACTAAACCGCTTCTGGCACAACGGGACACCATGATGGAAACCAGAGTGTACCTTCCCGCCGCAGCGGTACCTATTTACAGTGGTACCCCGCAAGACGAACGCCTCGCAAGACGGAAAACCCGCTAGACGAAAGGGTTTTCCGTTTTGGAGGCGCTTCGCAAAACGACAGCCCATAGGGAAATCTCCGGGAAAGCGGGGAAGCACAGCGCGTCTTCCCCACTGTCCTCGGACCTCCTCCGAAGCCTGGCGGCGGGGCGGGGACACCTCCTCCCGCCGCCGCCGGGCTTCGGAAGGCTCCTCCGAAGCCGGGCGGCGGGGCGGGAACACCTCCCGCCGCCGCCCGGCTTCGGAAAGGTGCTCCGAAGCCCGGCGGCGGGCAGGGAACACCTTCTGAAGGCGGGCGGGGGGCGAAAGTCTTTGTCCCCCCTGCCTGCCTTCCCAGGGGCTTTTAAATCACCCCGGACAGCGGAGAAGTCCTCCGCTGTCCCGGGGCGATTTTAAAATGCCGCCCGCCAGTATTTTAAGATCGCCCGGACAGCGGAGAAGTCCTCCGCTGTCCCGGGGTTTTTTAAAATGCTGGGGGTGGGAAGAAAAGCCCTTGTCCCCCCCCCAGCCTTCAGAAGAGGTCCGGGAACAGACTGTCCCTGGACCTGGTCTGAAGGCGGTTTCCCTAGGAACGCATTAATTGATTTTCAATGCATTCCTATGGGAAACCGTGCATCGCAAGACGAAAAACTCGCAAGACGAAGAGACTTGCGGAACGAATTAATTTCGTCTTGCGAGGCACCACTGTATCTACTTGCACTTGCTTTTGAACTGCTAGGTTGGCAGGAGCTGGGACAGAGCAATGGGAGCGCAACCTGTTGCGGGGATCCGAACCGCTGACCTTCTGATCGGCAAGCCCAAGAGGCTCAGTGGTTTAGACCACCCCACCACCCCATTTGCATATTTACCTATTTGCGTACACGCCTACCCACCCTGACAACAGAAATCAAGCATGGCTTTCCTTCCCTGGCTTCCGCCTGAAGGCTGCTTCCAACTCTCACACATGACTCTGCCACCCCTACCAGCCAGGTGATTGAGGGGGAGCACCCATTTGGCACAAAGCTACTTCCCTTTGTTATAGGTAAAGGTAAAGGGACCCCTGACCATTAGGTCCAGTCACAGACAACTCTGGGATTGCGGCGCTCATCTTGCTTTATTGGCCGAGGGAGCTGGTGTACAGTTTCCCCAGTAAATCACCAAGAAGATGGTCTGGCTAGTTCATACCAGATTTTAACCCTTGTTGTGGGTCTAGGAGCCCAGGAATTATGGCTCGGGCATTATGCAGACTACTAGTAAAGGTAAAGGGACCCCTGACCATTAGGTCCAGTCGTGGACAACTCTGGGGTTGCAGCGCTCATCTCGCTTTATTGGCCGAGGGAACCGGTGTATAGCTTCCGGGTCATGTGGCCAGCATGACTAAGCCGCTTCTGGCGAACCAGAGCAGCGCACGGAAACGCCATTTACCTTCCTGCTGGAGTGGTACCTAGTTATCTACTTGCACTTTGACGTGCTTTCGAACTGCTAGGTGGGCAGGAGCAGGGACCGAGCTATGGGAGCTCACCCCGTCGCGGGGACTCCGCCCCCCAAAAAAAACCTAACAACACTAAAATCCCACAAAAGCTAGGCATATATCAAGTTCATAAGTTTATTGTTCTAGCCAAAGTCCACAACAAACTGACACTAGGCAATAGTATTAATAAAATAATACAGAACAGACGTCCATAAAAGGGCATACATAACTGGCAACAGTTCAGAAACACCCAAATCCGTGCGTGAAGAAAGATAAAAACTCAGAAAGTGAGGACGCGGCTGGCGCTGCTGGGAAGTCACCGCTCTTCCAGGAATCCTGCGCTTATAATCAGGGGCTGCTTTCACTTTCACTTCCTGGTCGCGAACAAAAGCCCCGCTGAGCAGGCGAGGAGCCAGAGTTAGCGGGGTCGGCGGGAGAGCGCGCGAGAAGTCTGGGAGCCAGAGGCCGCTACTGCTGTCGGGAGGTAAGGAGAGCGACCGGGCC